CAGTCAAGCTCTGAAGAAGCCAACAGGATGATTGGCGAAACGTCAGCAATTTCGACTAACCAAAAACCGACTGAGAAAGAATCCAGAAGTTTTGCAAAAAGCAAAGTATTTTTTCATACCTTTTGAGACCATAGATTCGCGATTCAATCTCGAATTGTTTTTTTTTTAATTCCCTGTCGTATCTACCGCAGTGACGTAAAATCGCTGCGCTTCGTGGACTTGCAATTAATCGAAACGAATCGTCCCCCGTTCAATATAAAAGCAATCTCTTCCCGGGCAATCCCCCGAAGGCTCTCCGTTTCAAAACGTCTATTAAGTCCAATTATTTTCAGGAAAACTTCGGGCGTTAAAAAAACTTCGACAAAAGATTTGTTTCGGACCGTTACCGGAGTAATCCGGTTTCTTGTTTCGCAGGAATTTTTCCGAAACTTTCAAAGTTTGCCCGTCCCTCAATCGCGCTAGGAAAGTCTTTTAATTGCGTGTCCGTTTTTAACTGCACCGTAAACGGAACTTTAAAATAACGCGGAACGGGGAAACTTTGAAAGCTTGGATAAATGGATATGAGTCTTTTGGTACGGCGATGCTCTATCGATCTAAAATGTTTTTAACTCTGCGACGTTGCCACTTCTACGAAAAAGTAGCATCAACATGGAAGTTTTAAATGGGACACCTTGTATATTACTGCATTTTTGGATCCGCTTATGCTTTATGATTAGTTTCGAATAATACATCCTTATACCTATCTTTAGTCGTTTAAGAGGAATTAATTATTTTCTTTATTTTTCTGCTAAAACATGGATTCAGTTAAATTTACTGGAGCCAGTAAAAAACTAAAATTTTGGACATAGCTTAGGGATTTGCTGTACATTGTTTCTTTTTATTGAAATGAGCTCTATATCACACAGGGTCGGTCAAAATTAATGATTTACCCACGACATACAAAAATGGTAAAAAAGGCATTTTTTTTAAATAGAACACTCTGCAAATATCCTTTATTCCAGGCACATATCTCTTCTATTTATTTATTTTATTAAGAAATCAGCATAATAGTCATATAAATTATCATGGTCATCATAGTTCATATTAAATATCTTAATTAGGACGCTTGATAAAGATGAAACCGGTGTTAAATGTGGCAGAACTACCTTATGGAAGTGTATTCAACACATGAGTTTTAGATTTAAAAAAATTGACAAAAGGCAAGTGTTAATGGAATCTTTTAGAATTCGGAAATGGCGACTGGAATATCTAGAAAAAATTAGGATTTACAGAGAACAACAAAGGTCAATTATTTATTTGGATGAAACCTGGTTCGACACTTATGATACCCTGGAAAAGGGTTGGGGTGATTCAACTGATAAGTGTAAAACAAACGCGCCATCAAAAAGAGGTAAAAGAATAACTATTTTGCATGCCGGCTCCAAAGATGGCTGGATTCCAAATGGACTTTCTCTGTCTGCGCAAAATATTAAAGATTCTTCTCTGGATTACCATGAAGACACCATCGCTGATTTATTTGAAAGCTGGTTTAAAAACAAACTAGTTCCAAATATTCCTCCTAATAGCGTAATTGTAATGGACAATGAAAGTTATCACAGTAGACACTTGACTAAATCCCCTTCCTCATGTTACACAAAAGCAACAATCCAAAACTACATATATAATAACCACATTTATTTTCACGAAGACTATACCAAAAAGCAATTAATTTAAGTTCTACAAAGCTTAATCAAGCAAGCAAAATCTAGGGCATACAGTTTTAAGGTTTCCACCTTACCACTGTATATTTAATCCCATTGAACATGTTTGGCAGCAACTGAAATCTGCCATTCGTCGTAACAATGTTTTTCCCCGTGTTATCTCCAATGTCCTCAAACTTATAGAAACCGAAGTTTTTAACATCCCTCCACAAAGTTGGGCAAATTCTGTTAAACATATACAAAAAGCAGAACAATCGTATATCCATATTGCAAATAATATAGAACAAATTATAATTAGAACAGGCGATGATAGCCATAGTGATACTGATATATTATTATTATATATTATGTGAATAATTTTAAGTAATTTAAGTAGGTAATAAAAATAATTTGCAATTTTATTTTAGATTTAAACATAAATACGTACATAAATAAATAAATATTGTTTAGTATCCTTTCTAACAAAACCCCAAATAATTAAATTCTAAGCAAAGTACGGACCTGTTCGGCCATATTTCATTCTTACAGCTTGTCCTTGTCTTTCCTTAATTCGTATCAGTTAGTCACTTTCTTATATCTTATATCGTGCTTATTTGATTATCTGTATCATTACAATTTGAATGGTTTCCCTTTCAAATGAAATGTAAACAATACTTTTGATAAATTGGTTAAGGCTTTCGCGGCCCGCGGACGTCTACGTCCAACATTGGAGATGGAAGGACCTCTGAAGAAGCTTGCCACTCGTGCTAGCGAAACATTAGGAAGTAATTCCAATCGACGACGGCCTTTAAACCCGAATCAAGATAATAGCTTAACAATACTTTTGTTTTAATAAGAATAAGTAATAAAAATTAAAAAAAAATGTTAATTAAATTAATTTATGATTATTAAAAGCTCATATTGTAGCTCCAGTTTCATGATAATAGTATTAGCTGGAATTTAATTAAAATTAGGAGAAGGAGAATTATAAGATTGATATATATATATATATATATATATATATATATATATATATATATATATATATATATATATATATATATATATATATATATATACATATATATATATATATATATATATATATATATATATATATATATATATATATATATATATATAAAATAACCTTTAAATTAACTTAATTAATGAACTTAACATTTTAAGTAATAAAAATTTGTAAGATTTATTCATTTTTAATTTTATTTTTTTCTATTATATTTATTTTAATAATAATAAATTTATGAATTAAATTAAAGTTTTTTTTATTAGAATATGAATTATTGAATTATAAGTCCGTCTGTTTAATTTTTTCTATGTTAATTGATTGAATATCATGTATATGTAGATTGCAATTTAAAAGTCATTTAATATAAAGAAGGGTATCAAAAGGGGGATTTAAATTTACCTAGATTTATTATATTTTGTATCAATTTTATTAGAGTGAGATGGGTTAGGTTTAGTATCTAATTTATTAGTAATTTATTATCAAAATATACAGTCTTTTAATGCAGGCATATTAACAGCATTGTCAAATCGTATTGAGGATGCAGCTTTATTATGATCCATTATTATTATTAATAGCACAAACTAACTACCATTTTGAATTATATTCTTAATTCTATTTCTTGAATTAAGATCAAATTGTGTTGCTTTAAGAATACCTTAACGCCATTATCTGAAGGTCCGAAGGGCATCTTAAACGATATATTAAGGGCTGCGACGATGCGACGAAATATGGAGCCAATTTCCTGGTAAACGCACATAGCGATTAATGCACACGCAAATATATGACATCGTTAATAACAAAATATTTAATAATACTAATAGCGAACCATGCGGATAAAATTATACTGCAAAAAAGCCACTCGCGTGATGCATAACTTGTTATTGGACACGAAGAGGACTAACCAAACCAAAATTCCAATTTTACCTGGTTGTAGTGCATAGAATTTTTCTTTTAATTTAATTTTTAACAAATTCAAATTGAATGTTAATTAAATGGTCATAAAAATAACTTTACAATAGGGATATGAGTAAGTCTCGTAGTTACGACCTTATTACTGCACACTTCTAAGTATTCACTTCCCTATTCTATGAAAGTGTAAGTTATCCACGTCCCTAAGTCTGATGGTTTCGGCCCCCAGCTTGAGTACCTGATTCTTTCCATTGCCGATCATATGGACTGCATCATAAAGCCAGTTTTACACTGAGCCGAGTTATCCCTGCTTGCAAGTTCAGCCGTGGTTTAATATCGTCTATATCAAATGCCTGTGTTTGCTGCAAAATAATTTAAAATAGTCCCTACTTTAGGACCTTGCCTCTTACGGAGAAAGGGATAAAGCACAATCCTTGTAACAACAAAAATACGTCAAGGAAGCTTAACGCTAACATGTGAGGTCCGTTCTGGTACCACTGTCTAATATTATCTACGCAAATAATAATTTCGAACATTTTGACCTGGTTTGTACGCCTGTTCGTAGACTATAGTGGTTATTATGCCTTCTTTCTGGGAGATGAGGGAAATTTTTCAGTGGTCAACGGTGTGCAGCACCAAGTTCCTGGGAAAACGGTTGGTCAGAATCTAAATTTGAAAAAGCATTGAATTAAGCGAACTTATCTATCCTATCTTCCTGAGGTACGGATTTTGCTTTCGGGATCTTCCTGATGGAGAATGAGAATGTTGTTGATTTTAACCATTTTAAAGCAAAGGAAATTTGTTTTCTGGAAGTGACTGCTACCATACTGTTACGGAAACTTTAAATTTATTTTCAATAAGACTTTCAGAAAATCGTTTGCTTAAATAAAAAGTCCTTTACTTGTTTACATTCCTCATAAACTGTGTGCTTCATAGCAAGGTAATTGTTATAAGGTCATAAGGTCTAACGGACTATTTAAGTGTAATTTTTTAAATAGTAATAACTTAATAAAAAGCAAGACAAATATCGCTGTTTTATATGAGAATTATTGGAAAAAACTTAAAATTATCTTATTACGTTTTCTTTAGTTTTGATCACTTTTGGTTAGTGTCACATTTCTTTGAGCTAATTCTCTACCCACTGAACGTACTGAACGGAACCCCGCGTTTTATTACTCCGCATCATTTAGAAACAGACTTTAACCATTTGACTAGGTTTGGATTTAAAAATGCGGCAAAAACTTGCATTGCATCTGTAGGTAAAAAATATACTATGCGCGTAAACAGGGCTAATTAAGTTTTTGTTAAATGCACACATTTTTTCGAACACCGTAAGGTGTAATCAACACTAATTAAACGACATTGATTATTAGCAATTATCACTCAACTCTTTGGGCTATATTCTCGAACATAATACCTTCCTATTTGATATCATTGTGCTTCAACAAACATGCAACTTGAGGTGAGCTTAACGACTATTACCTAAATGTTTTTCGCTACTATTATCAAATTGTTAAATTTAGGCGAATGAATTTTTTCAAGTTCTCATCAAAGAATCGGATATTTTTTTTAATTGTTGCTTAAGTCTTTAGAAACGACATTATTATTTTTTATTTAAATATATATTTTAGGCATGTACAGAGTGTTTAATGAAAAAAAAAATCAGTTGAATACTAAATATTTGTCACATTTTGTGGGATTTAACGTCAAGTCAATGCATATGCAAATTAAAACTAAATATCGGGCAATTCCTATTCTATTCCTATTCTTAATCTTTAATTCTTGTTTAATCGATATTTCATTATGTTCTCTGCATTCATTTAAGGATGCAGGAGGTTGATGATGTTTAAGCCACCTTCCCTTTTTTTTTTTTTTTCCCGTAGCGTCACAACCCTTCGTGGGTCTTAGCTGCATCTACGACTCGTCTCCATCTGTCCCTGTCCAACACAACCTCCTTCCAGTTCCGTACTCCCAAGATTTTTACATCCTCTTCGATATTGTCCCTCCATCTGAGCCTTGGTCTTCCTAAGGGTCTCTTTCCTGCTGGGTTTTCTTCCCATATCCTCTTTACAAGACGTCCATTCGGCGATCTCTGCACGTGTCCAGCCCACCTGAGCCTTTGTGCTTTTATTTCGTTTACTAAACTCGGTCTTTTGTACATGTCGTTAAGCTCCGCATTCGTTCTTATTCGATATTGACCCGTTCTCTCATCTATTGTTGGTCCAAAGATTTTCCGCAACATCCTTCGTTCAAAGCGTCTTAACACTAGTTCGTTCTGCTTTGTCATTGTCCATGTTTCCGAGCCATACATTACGATTGGCTTGATTACTGCCGAATATATCCGTAGTTTTGAGTTCCTAGATATCAGTCGGGACTTAAACAGGTTCTGCAAGGCGAAAAAACATTTATTGCCCTTTTGTATTCTTGCTTTTATTTCGCTGGTGATATCGTTATCCGAAGTTATAACTGCTCCTAGGTACTGAAATTGGTTTACGCATTGAAAATTGTGGGTGTCCATGGTTATGTTCTGTCCTATTCTGCCCCTTCCTGCTCTCCGTCCGGCCCACATATATTTGGTCTTGTCCTCGTTGATCATGAGTCCTACCTTCTTGGTCTCCTTCTCTATGTTCATGAACATTTCTTTTGTTTTAATCGTACTGCTTCCTACCCATTTAACCCCATAAACCTTTTAATGGGTTAAGCTCTGGGCTGCGTGGAGACCAGTCCTAGGTCTCATTTAAATAACTTCCTGTATAAATTTTTTTGCATTAATTGAAAATTATATAAGCTTTTCAGGAATATGTATCGGAAGCAAAATTTATTTTTTTTAATTTTATTTGCAACAGTAGGTCGTGATTATTTATTTTAACGTATTTTATACGTTATGTATTTGTAACAATTTCCTACTTATTATATTAACTAATACGGAATATTAACGTAATAATACACCTAAAACTGTTGTTCTAATTAGAGACCATTTTATCGAATGCAAAACTCGCACATTTTTCTTATTTTAAAAGTATTATTGGTCTCTTTCGTAGAGTTTCGAAAGTTACAGCAATTGCCAATAGAAGTTCTGCCACAGTTATTTTACATACATTCTCATAAAAAGAAATCTAAAAGTCAAAGATCCGGAAATCGCGAAGGCCATCTTACAGGTCTGTCCATTTTTGAGGCAAGTCTGAAAAGTCCAGAGTTATGACTTGAGGCACCTTCTTGCTTAAAGCAGATATCATTTATAATATGCTAAGGGAATATCTTCGCGTAATTCCTTCCTCAAGAATATCTGGGTGCTGTAAGTTCTACTTAATACATTTTGTAAGCTATTCGTCCCAAAGTATGGCATGATTAAAAAAAAACAAAACACATCTATAATATAAAAATCATACTGAACATATCCCTTTAAAAACGTCACCTGTGGTAATATTATTCTGAAGCTTCTTGGGCATTTTCATATCGTATTTTTCAGAATTTTCAGACATTCCCATTCTCATAGAAAATTAATTAAAATGAAATGAAGTCTGCTAAGTTATTGACACATTTGCTTTTTTGTTTTTAATAAATGCTTCATTGCCAATAACGTACTTAATATTATTATAACATAATATTTATCGTAATAATAAGATATTATTATTTAAAAAAATATATATTTTCATCCTGTTTTTTCAAAATTCAGTAAAGAGTCTCTTGTATAGCAATAACTGTTTAAATTTATTTTAAGTTTGATTGATGTAGTTGATTTACTATCGCCTACTGCTACAAATAAAATAAAAATGAAAAAAAAAATTTGATTTCAACTTTATACTAATGTATGTTTTCAAAAGGATAAATGTATGATAATTTTGTGCACGGAATCTTTAATTTTACAAAAATAAAGCGTAAACTGCGACCCTATACTAATATATATTTTTGAAAAGCTTAAATCATTAAATAATATATAGGGTGTTCAATTTAAAAATATACATGTTTGATTCATAGCTAAAAAACAGTTAGAGAAAGTAAAAAGCAAACTACGCCACTAGATTCTACGGAAATATCTTATATGAAAGTTTCAATAACTCATGAGACGAAAATCGATAGTTTTGGATTTCACCCTGTATCTCAAAAACCGGGATAATTTTGTTTACAGAATCTTTAATTTTACAAAAATGTATCTTTAAATATTACTGAGATAAAGTGTGTCAAAGGGTTCAAGATGGGATACCCTGTACATTTCCTTATAACGAGATACGTTTCACAAGGCAGACTATTGTTCACATAGCAAATATTTGGTTGTTGGCACCAAATAACGTTTTAGATATGAAGTCTTTTTTTTTCATTAAAGTTATTTTTTTGAATAAAAGTGAGTTTTTGGTGTTCGATTTTGAGAACTAAATTCTTTATTTCGGTATTTGGTTTGGCATATCAAAAGGTGATGGTTCTAGTAATAATGCTAGTACTGCAACCTCGAAAAATTTGGGTATTTTTCAGAAAATACAGCAGGGTCCGAGCCTGTTGTTTTACTTGGTGACGGCACCTTTTTTGCCGCTTCTGATACCCGTCTTCGTTCTACTCTTCATTTTTAAAACGCTTCTCAAGCTGGTGCTTATTTCCAAACATGGAAAAAGGTTCGGCGGGTTCCTCGCTAGCCCCGACACCCTGTGGACGCACGAGAGAAACGAATGGAGGTGTGTGGTGAACGTATTGTTTTTGCTGGAGTGCCAAGATAGGATAGACCTGAAGCAAAAGCTTACGGTACGCGCTAAAGAAAGGGTAAGAAGCCGCGCATATTTTCCAGCAAACCAAACGTTAAACTTTTTTTTTAGGTATTTGACGTGAACGACTATCCAAAATTAAAGGCAACGGTGCACAAATCGTGCGGATATTATTATTTTGTAAACGACGATGTGGATTTAACTGACTGCGCCAAAGTGCTGCGCGTGCCCAAAGATAGGCCGTTTGATGACGACGCTTTGAGGGATATCGTTAGTGAAATGGTTAACGAACCGCTTCCCAAAAATGGCGCTGGGATGTGGGAGTTTCGGGTTAGCGAAAGTCCCCTTGTAGCCAAGAGGAATGTAAGTGTACGATTTAAGCGCTGCGAGCTATATTAACCCAGGTGACTGTTATCACCATTCAGCTATTAGCTATATAGGGTGTTCGGAAATTGAGTTCGGAAACTTGTATGTATGTATTTTATTTATTGCAAAATAAAAAAGTCGTCACAACTGCTACTGAATGTATGTAATGTATTAATAATTATAAATGCATATGGCGATATCCAGTATCACCTTTCTGTAAATTAGAAGTGTTGTCGGGAATTAAAAAGTCAATTTGTGGCTAAACGACTTAAAACAAGAGCAACATTTTTTGAGGATTCTGCTTGAGCCAATTTGTTCTATTTTGCAATATCAGTCTAAATAAATAAAATATAGGGAAAATTAAAAAAATGTTCTAAGTATAGTGCCCTCTAGTGATAGATTTCTGTAACACTTTTATTTTTTAACGATGACTTTTACTAAATCAGAGCTGTGTGTCTTAAATACCAGCCTTCCATTTACTGACATTATTTTACCACATTGAATCTTTCCTCCAAGTTATACATTTTGGAAGAACCGTAGCCACAATTTGAAAGTAAAATCTTTTATTAATACCATTCAACAGCAAACAATTTATTTATAAAAAAATGCATATTTTATAGGCTGCTGTGTATTGGTTTATTGTACTATTGTATTGTGTATTATAACTTTGTTCTGGAACTCAAAATAACAAAAAAAAATCAAAAAATTTTAAAAAATACTTGGCGAAACTTAATTTCTCCCAAATGCAAAATTTACACGAAAACTTTGTACAATATGTGAAAACCTTCAATATAAAAGTTTTAGCTGTCCATGCGGACTATACGGCCATGTATAAATATTGAAACACAGCTTTCTAGTTATTGTCAATTATCTTTTTCTATTCCCGTCTGTAAAATACCTAATTACACACGGATCTAGCTTGCGGGAAGCGTCACTTTACCACGTCAGTTTTGTTTCCCACGAATCCGAACTACTTCGGACATTTCCGGGATTTTACGGCACGGGTTTGAATGTTGACGTTTGTCATTTCTGACTGTCAGTGAATGACGGTCGTAGAAAAAGTATAGTATGCAACATGTTCGGTAAACTGTTTAAGGTACTCGTTTATTAAACACTCGCTCCGCTGCGCTCGTGAGTCAAATGCCGTTTACAGCACTTGTTGCCTAATATACTACTATAGAATTCGATCTGGCAGATCTATTGTTTCAAGATTTTTTTTTATCGTGTATTTTTTTTCTCGAAAAAAACGCTTCATGTCTGCGGAAATCGCTGTTAACAAGCAAATGGATACTGTAGTAGGATATGATAATATCAAATAGCTATATGGTTTCAGTACTTCAGGACAGCCATTTAGTTCTACATTCTCAAAGCCATGGGCTACCGTCTAATACATCGTAATTACCCAAGGGGAAATGACCTTTAGTACGGAATTGAAATATTATTCTGTAAGGGATCGTTTCTGCATCACAAGTTTAATGATTCCACAAGTTGATTTAAACATGGCGACCCAAGACGATGAAAAGGAATGCTAACCATTTGCTTAAAAAAACTAAGTTTCTCTCATTTTTGGTTTTCTGGACTTATTTGCTTGTAACACCCACGAATTATTATACTTATTACTTTTTCTAGGGTAAGCACGCCTATCCAGTGATATTTAGATTTAACCACGTGGTGGGAGACGGGGCCACCTTCATTTCGTTTTTTATGAAGGTCTTCAGCGACACACAAGCGGATCAGTACTTGACCACAACTCTTAAGAAGTACAGCGGATTACTAACCCAAACCTCAAATGACTTCAACTTGGTGATTTGGGTACGTAGTTAATGTTGATGATGCATTTTATGTATCTCTCAGTAAATGTAAATCGAAGAAAAAGCAATCACTTTTCCTTATAAGTGCATTCGAAGAAGGAAAACAGCAAAAATAATAAAGAAATTAACAAAATTTAATTTATTTCATTACATTTCCTTATTCACTGATATACTGACAAATGACTTAACTTATTAGTGTCCTCGGGTGAAAAACAGTATTAGTATCAATAAGGTATAATATTCCTCGAGTTGAAGCAAACTTCCTGTTCCTCAAAAAGTCTATTATTAGTTCATTCCGATTCAGTAACTTTTAAACTAATATTTCCATGATTTTTACCAAAATGGCATCTACTTCTACTGAATTGCAAGTTATCTAATAGAGCTCTTTCGAAGGAGGTGCTGCTATAAATGCAGAAGCAGTGTGACATAGAAATTTCAACACCCAGTGAATGTAAATATATTTTATTAATACCTTGTGAGGCTTTTGGGATACATGTGGGATAGGAATGACCTGTTATATATCATATATGTTAAATAAGCGAACAGTCCATTGATCTGGAGTACTCCAGAAGAAAGGTTACATTAGTTTGTGGGAGGAAGTCAAGAGGTACGTGGTGTAGAATTATTTTACTGAAAAATTGGATCATGTATTGTGAATCCACAAGGAAAAACAATCATTGATACCATGCCACACGTATCTGCATATTCCATATGATCATCTCATAACTTGTGGTTCTTTGATAAATGGAATTCACTGGGCTGGGGGGTCGGGAAGTATTCTAAAAAAATTAAAAATCGCGTGTGCAAGGGTCTACAAAAAACATCATTTTTCAAAAACCGTTTAGGAGACCAAAAAAATTCTTGAACCAGAAGACGCAAAACTTTTATTCTTGACCATTTTTCAAAAATATACGGCAAATTCAAAAAAATTGAAAAATGGGTCCCCTTATTATTGAAAATTTCTTTCACTTTCTTTTATATTGCGATATAGCCCGTATAGCAAAAGCTTTTGTATTTTATTTCCCGAAATAAATAGAAAATTGTTTTTTTACAGAGTAACTTATTAGCCGCAAATCAAAAATCGCAAAAAATATGGCTAATTGGTTCAAACAGTGTCATAGGTGGCATCAAGACCTACAATTGTTGTATTCGTAGGTTTCGTCTATCACATACTCTGCTCGGGATATTTGAAAAAATCCATATTGTAATCGTTGAAAACTAAACTGTGTCTTCAGTTACCTTTCTGCAATAGAACTGAATAAAAAAATAATAATTTTTTGTGAAATTAAAGTTGTAAACATTATACACATGTACTGGGTGTTACAATCTCAATGCCATTATAATTAATGCACCAGAATCAAGTACATTTATGTTGGTCTCACTTAATAAAAGTTTATTCTTCTAACTCTCAATTACTTTGTTTTTAACCCGATAAAAGTTTTTTCTTGTAATAAATAAAAGCATGACGCGTTTCTAAAACAAAAACATTTTGGTTTGTTGACCATTTTTGAACATTTTTTTCACTTAGTTTAACATTTGTGAGTGCTTTTTCTTCTAAGTTTGGTGACACTTTGCATACGTGCAAATACGTTCTAGACAAATACTTGGCGTTGACGTTTTTTTTTTTAGTTCGGCCGCATTAAATCAATCCTAAGGAATTTATACGTGCTGTTTTTCATCTTTGGTACGTTGCTTCATCTTCTTTTCGCGCGAGAGAGCGACGAAAATCCTTTACACGGGCCTTGCCTGTGCGGCGATAAAATTGTCGCGTGGTCCGTCGAAGATAAGGAAGAATTGATCCCTACGGTGAAAAAAATTAAAAACAAATTCCCGAAAATGGCGTTTTCGGAAGTAGTTCATACTGCGCTGGTTGCCAGTTTGACGGATTTTTACAAGAGGGTGGGTAAATACGAAAGTATGGTTATGATCCTAATAGATTTTGGTTTGTTTCCGTTCACATTTTGTAAGCGTTTTTGAGCCAGAAAGGCACGTTTTTGCTGACTTAAGTTGCGACCCAACAAATAAATTTAGCATTGGCAATGGCATGGCTTTCATCCTAAAAGCCTTCATCGAATATCTGCCACCCTGACAACAGAACGAGGATTGATATTATTTACACTGATTTTCGTAAGATTTTCAACAATGTTTGGCTTGCTTGCTTCTGAGATGGGTCCTCAAATTCATATCGGAAGGGAAGGTCACTAAACGTTTAGTTCAGGGTTTTATTTCAGACTCAAACAAGTATCCCATAAAGCGTCCCACAAGGTTCATACCTGAGACCCGATTTTTACCTCTTTTATACAGAGTTTGCATAGTTCCTCTAATTAAATAAATAATTAGAGGAATTGGACTTTCTTCCTCTTTTATACTGTCTATATATGCAAGCGAATGGTACCTTAATAGATAGCATTGTTATAAAATTCATGCTTGATCCAGCTCCTGTTCGTGTTTGTTTTGGTTAGTTCTCTCTGTCCCTCTTCACACAGAGGACATTGTAAGAGTTTGAATATCAAGACTTGTTTGAAGGTTTTCTTTATTTTTGTGTATACATTAATAGTAATAGTAAGTAGTGATAGTAATAGCAAATAAATAGCTGTCTAGGGTAGTTCGAGGGTATATTATTTTTCTAACCGGTCTGTAAATAAACACAGACAAGCAGACACAGTGGTAATACGTATACCTAATAGAATAGAAGAAAAAATCAAAGAGTAAATGATTGGAGGACTTTAGTTGAAAAAAATGTAAAGAAAAATACAAAATAGGCAAAGAATAGCCATCACCAGACGGGCATGTTTCAGATGAGTTGTTGATGATGAACCAGACAATTTTTTAAGATTTAATTCTTATATATGCCCGTGTTAGTTGATTTTCATTCAAAATTTTTTAATGTCCTGTTTCTTTTTTTTTAATTTTTCTCCTACAACCTTGAAAATAATGAATTGAAACTTCTTACATAAATTAAACTTCAAAAACTCAATATTCAAAGTTATCAAATTATTTTTATTCTATATTTAATTGAAAATGTTTAACACAAAAAATTGTTTAGTTTTTTTGTAATTGGCTGTTCTATTTACAAATCAGGGAATTCAGAAGAAACTTTGCAAAAACTTCTATTTTTTAGAACGGATACGGCGTGCCAAATTACATAAGCGTAGGGATGCCGTTTATTATGTCCGTCAGGGACATGTTGAAGCCGGGTCCGGTCACGCTGGTCAACAAATTTTCTTTTGGCATTGCGACTTTTCCAACCAGGAGAGCTACGTTAATTCAGACGCTTCTAGAAGTCAAAGAGCGATTCGAGATATTAAAAAGTGGCATCGAAATAGAGGTAATTACATCCTACTTTAAAGGCCTGCTCACCCCTCCACCTGAAAAATTTTTACATATGACATTGCTTAAACATATAATGCATTGGATCAGTCTCTTAAATTGCTAAACAATACTTTTTCCACACACCTGCGTGAATTATCATTAAATATTTAAGTAATGTCTACTGTAAACTATTTCCAATGTGTAAGTCCCACTATTTGCACATATTATGTGTAGTTTTCCTGCCTAGCACTGCTACCTTCTTAGGATAGGTTTAAAAACGGAGGCACAAAATATCTTATTTTGATCATGCGAACCCTGTCCTTTCGATTGTATATCAATACGTGAATAAAATTATTATTATTATTATTATTATTAAACACTCTCAGAATTTTTGAGGTTTTCGAAGGTAAGAATCCTTAGAACTGCACGTTCAAAAATCCTCAGGTATTGAATTTTATCGTTCCAACTTTGGTAGTTTTGGAAATATTTAAGCGTCAAATTATTTTTTATGAACCCGGTTTAAAACCAGTGTTGTACAAAAATCTACCAGGGGTGAGAGAGCTCTTGAGCTCTTCTTGTCAGAGAGACTAAAATAATTTAGTAAAAAGGAATAGCATAAAACGTATTGATTTTTTACCAATAACGGATTCTAAGTCTCAAATCTTCGAACGTGTTTTATATACTAGACCGATCCTATAAAAAATTTAAATTATTGAGATCCGGAAACCTTGCGGGCCATTGTGGAAGCCATTTTGAGAGTTTTATGAAACCCAGCGAAAGCTGCAAGTGCAAAGAACCCAAAAGAAAGTGTTTTCTGTCGAATAATTATATTTTTCTACTCCCGTCTGTAAAATACCTAATTAGACGCGAGTCTAGCGTGCGGGAAGCGTCAGTTTCGTTTCCCACAAATTCCAGCCACTTCGGACATTTCCGGGAATTTACCGCACGGATTTGGGAGCAATCGGATGTTTTCGGAGATGTTTCCCACGCTTTTAATTTTGATTGTCAATTCTGACGGTCATGCCGCTGAATGTATTCGTGTTGTTTTGCGAAAATGTACCCAAAAACTAACGGTCATAGAAAATAGTGTATTATCCAGCAAGTGCGGTAAACGGCATTCGATTCACGAGTTTACACGAGCGGAGCGCAGCGGATAATTTAAAAAGTTTGCCGAACGTGTTGCATAGATAAATAGACAGATAGATATATGGTTTATTGACAACTTTACAATATCATACAAAGCAAAAAAAAATAAATCGAATATATGTAAGTATATACCTAACATAAAATTGTATATAACGTCATAATATACTAAATCTAGATATACAATGAACATAACTTCACAATAACAGGACAACAAATAAAAAAATAAATTTATATTTATATAGCACAGAACAACATTAAAATACAATCAATGCCCAACGCCCCGCAACACGTGATTACCGATGTTGTCTTGAAAAAAATCACCAACGCTATTATAACCCTTACCTAGAAGAAAAAAAAAGTTTAAAAGATTTATATTTATATTTATTGTATATTTATATAAGGAGACTTTTGTTTTGATTTCTGCAACCTGTATCTCGGAAGCACGAGATTATTTGCAATCCGGGTGTCATACCTATTCATACCTATGAGAATCAGAACCCCTCGGCAAACTATCGGTCTTGGAGTGTATCTCGAGAACACTTTTGAAATATGAACATGGGACAGTCATTATTTTATGTTTAATAAACAATGGCTTACAGTGTTCTTTAAAATTTGAATTTGTAATTATCGGTAGTGCCTTTTTTTGCATCCTAACTATTTTAATGGCATGGTGGCGTAGCTTATACGCGAGTGAAATGAACCAAAGTAAGTTGACTTCAATACATCAAAACTCACTATTTTGCGACGTTGACGCAAAAGAAAATGAATATTTCAAAGATTTTTCTTAGCTCGCCAATGTGTTCGCCCAGAGTCTTGCATGATTTGCCACATTAATAAACGTTGTGTCATCAGAAAACAGCACAATCTCACTATCAGGCATCATGTACTGGCAAATATCATTTATGTATATAATAGAAAGGAGGGGTCCCAGAACGGAGCCCTGGGGTACTCCAAACTCAACGCAAGCCAAATCAGACTTATTGTTCTTTGCGCTCACAAACTGTTGTCTATTGATTTACTTCAACAAATTTATATAGCCTCTCTTTTAGGACTATAGGATAGGACAGGATAGGACGATAATTATCGACCATTTGAGGGTCTCCGTTTTAGATATTGGCGTTACTTTAGAAATTTTAAAAATACTTGGGAATATTCCTTCATTAAAACAACTATACTTTTTCTACGGCCTTCAGTTTTTGGGTACATTTTCGCCAAACAACACGAATATATTCACTGACATGGGCGTCAGAATTCGCAAACGCTCCGCTCGTGTCAAATAATCTTGTGAGTCGAATGCCGTTTACTATTAATATATTACAATTAAATAAGCTGTGTTACTTCTATAGGTAGCTTTCATTATTATGGAATACTTCATGGGTCTCTTGCCCGCTTTCTGCGTAAAAATAGTATCCACGTTGCCAGGAATGACTGCCATTGTGACAAGCCTTCCAGGAACTGCTAAGGTTACCTTCGGTAACACGGCCATAACTTCAGTAACGTTTTACGCCCCAAATAGGATGAAAACAGGTAAGTTATCTTGTTTAACCAATTGTTAAGATCTTTTAAGTTACTGATTAGATGATGGTGAGTTTAAGTTTTATTAGCGGGAGTTATTACCACTTCCCCCTTTCTCACTACATTTTACGCCATGTTTGCTGGTAATTCCTAATCATCTTCAAATCAAAAAGGATTGTAATTGTCCTTAAATGTCATGACTTGATGTAATTTTGACAATCTTATTTATATTTCTGTAGAAAAATAGAAAAAATCGTTTTTTTGTTTTATTTCTATAGTAATTCGTTGAGTTATAATTTTTTGATAAAATATAATCGTATCATGTAATATGGAATAGGAGAACTAACCTAAAAAAAGTTTTTTTTTGGCCGATGTATGTTTTAATGCGACCATATTTACCATTTACCATTTCGAAAACCCCAAGGGATATAAGGTAAAACACATTTTCATGGTCCCTATTTCTACTCTAAAACTCCGTCTACAGTGTTTCCGCTTCTGGCGACCATCACAAACTTAATTTTGTTAAATACGGACCTAATGGTTTTTTCAGTTTTCCAGAATATTTCATATTTATTTAACCATAATACGGCCCTGAACTACATTTTTAGGTGAGAGTGTAATAAAAACAAATTACATAATTTAATCACTATAAGTGTGCCTCGATGCATTTTCCAGCTCTATTTTTTTTTATCAAATTTCGGCTCTAGTAATAGCAAAATGGTATTTTTTTTTCTTTCGAAATGCGCATTATGATAAAAAGCCGTTATAGTTACAATCCAAAGACTCAAATAGCAAGTCAAGTGGACTTGTATCCCTCAATACCATAGCCTCAGCAATTTCAGACAATCATTTGTCTCTATGATAGTTTTCATAAACCAAGAAGAAAATATGGATCCCGAGTAATTGCTCAAGAAGAGCAGATTATTAATGAAGTTAGCTTATTTTTTTCGACCATTTGCTCATGAAGTGAACAAATCCAGAAAACCTGTTCAAAATGCTTTACATTTTCATAGCAACAAAGCGTTTGAAATATACTTTAGTCAAGCACTCAGGAAAGGAGTTTTTCATATTTTGCATAATTCGCACGCGATTCAACACACGCCGTATTACACACGAAATGATTACTAAAAAACTTAAACTAAGTAGTATGCCAAACCAAAGAATATTAAGCACAGGTAGGTATAAATTGATTTTTTGTTACGGACCACAATTTTACCTGAATTTAAATTCCGAAACTTTAGGTAATAATCTTGATTGGTCACTTTTTTATATCTATGAACGGACCACACCAATTCAATGTATGGATTGGTTTGTGGAGGAACAGAATCATTGGACCTTTATTTACGACGGGACCTTAGTAGTTATTCTAACGCGGGACTGTGACGATTCAAGGTCACCGATGGCTTGTTCCATCAGCAGTGTACCAAAGCTTCGTAAAGGGTTATGGAAAAGAAGTAAAGGTCACGGCGAAGAAGACCAGAGTGATTTTCCACCTATGTGTCAACAGTAATTAAGGTGTACCATAAAAAATCTGTAATTAGTGACAGGTGTAGGTAGTTGCAAGGGGTCCCCTGGGGTAACCTCCCCTAGGGGAGGTACTATAAAGGTATGGGGTGGAATTGCCAAAAAGGCACTAGTGGGGTCGGCATGCCGAAAGGGTACTATGTCGTCACACTTCACGTTCGACACACACACCTTAATTAGTGACAACGACACCACCTCTAGGGGAGGTACCCTTTATTTACCTTTAATTAATGGTGGAAAATCACTCTGGTCTTCTTCGGCGCGACCTTTACTCTTTTACATGACCCTTTACGACGAACTAGCTTTGGTACACTGCTGATGGAACAAACCATCGGAGACCTTGAATCGTCGTCACAGTCCCGCGTTAGAATAACTACTGACCTTAACTTCAGAACGATATGTAAATTTGATTATGAGCAGCAAACTCCTGCGCACAATGGAACGGAAGTAACTCGATTTTTTAACCACTAATAACTTAACTTAACTAATACAACTTTTGTATAAAACTTAACTCACAAATGGATATTAAACAATGGTTTTGTGAGATCGCCCGTTATTAGCGCAGTTCCCTTGATTATTTAATTTTTGGATGTTTAAATAACACCTCACGACCTTTAAGTTCTACGACAAAACTTGATAAGGGAAGATTATCTCTTATCTGTTATGTTTATTTTTACCCTGGGTAGCAAGATAACATAGCACAACTTGTTTATGTAAATTGATTCATTGTCCACTTTCTTTGTGTGTTATGTTTAATTTCATGAAAATTTCCATTATTAAAGTAATTTCCGATGTTAGATAACAATGAGTTCCAATAAAACGATCATGAAAATATAAGAAGATTATGCTTTTTTTTTACCTCACGTAAAATTGTAGTTCAGGGCCTTTACACACAGAAAATATCAAAGTCACGATATACAGTGATGAAAGGAGTTTATTAAATTGCAAAAAATCAGGTACTTATTAAAAAAATTAAGTTGATGATAGTCGCCAAAAGCCAAGGTATAGAACGGAAAATGCGCTCATGAAAATGTGTTTCTCAATTTAAGTTATCTAAATAGATAAAGCCAGGAGACGAAAAACACCAACTATTTTTTTCGAATATTTTGGGAAATGTTTGGAATTTTCCAAAATGCAAAACGTCTCCCGTAATTTGAGCTACCCTGTACAAGAATACTTTCTGCCATTCTTCGTTATTTTTCAGGACTAACGATCAGCATCCTCACTTACGATGACCGGTTTCAAATAGGCCTGGAGGTTGATAAGGCCCTTATAGCATCGAAAACGGAAGCCCAAATAATTTGCGAGGATATATTTAAATACTTAAAGTTGTTGGACGCTGAAACGAGTTCGCTTGGTTATAATGAAATTTGATAAATAATAGGAAAACAAATTTTTTTATTAACTAAAATTGTTTTTTTTTTGGCTCATACGTCACCCAGCTCAAAGCATATGAGTGTAGAAGAAAAAGCAAGCCCATTCGAACATAAAAATATGTGCCAAATATGAAGTCGATCGCTTCAAATTTCGGACACAAAACAGTCCAGTCCAAAAAACAGTCGAAAATCGCGAAAAAAAGGTCGCGTCGGATCAGGGCTAATTTTGTAGCTCTAACCATTCGAAAGTTGTTCAGGAAAAACCAAAAGACGAGAACGGAGAACGGAGAACCAACCGCGATCCCGTAGGACTTACCGTTACCGAGATATAAAATTTTTATACCAGCGCAGATACTTTCGAAAAATTCGATTTCATCGATTTTCGAAAGTCACAAGGGGAGCGTAGCCTCCGTACGATAAAACAGTAAACAATTGTGCTTTCATTGAAGCCTACTAATAAACTTTTATTTAAATCCCGTGTTGAAAAGGCGACCATCTGAGTTTTACTTTCATTTAATATTATTGCTCATTGTGTTGGTTGCAACGCTAAGTTGCTCAGACGATGCTGCCGAAAGGGTAGAAACTGCATTATCTGTACAAATGGAAAAGTAAGTATGGAGGAAAGATGAAAACACATCATTTATAACTACTATGAACTGTAAAGGTCCTAGTACTCTTCCCTGAGGTACACCGCAAATCACTGACCTAGAGTCAGAGACGTATTCAAATCCTAAGGTGTCTCGTAATTTGACCAACTGCGTACGAGCTGCCTTTCTTCTAACTTGCCAAGAATATGCTTATATAAAGAGAGAATAGCTGAGATAAATTTATTCAAATAAATTGCTTTCAATCCAAGAGTGCTGTGAAAATATATCAGTATCAGTTTTGTTGTTTTCAAATAAAAAATTAACTTTTAAGGACCAATTAGCAGTTTTGGTATTTGAAAATTCTATATTCTATCCGAAATATTTCATGTCAAGCTTATAAAGGTTAAAATGCAATTTTTTTGATTTCACCAGCCACGCCACTGTTTAGATCGATTAAACTTATAAATACTCTCGCATCGCTCAACGTTCAGTCAAGATTTATTATTTACAAAATAAACATAAGCCCGGGCAATGTTACTAATATTGTCGGCGATTACTGTCTCTGTGCTTCTATATATTTACATAAAATGGAAATACGCGTATTGGAAAAGCAAGGGAGTGGTCCAACCGGAACCAGAATTCCCTTTCGGAAACTTCAAGGCTACGATTTTGAAGAAAATGACATTCGAAGATACGGCGAGTATATACTACAAGACATATAAGAATAGTCACAAGTATGGTGAGCGATTTGATACTCTCTTCTAGATAACGCGACATGGCCTGAAATGTATCGCTAATATTTAATTAAATAGGGAATTCTGATTGGCGATAACCTTAGTTCATTAGTATCCATCCATGTATGTATGGATATTTCGTTCTTGAGAAAATTTCGCTGGTTATTTCTACCTACTGATAAATTTTAAAATTTATGGTGTAATATTACTTTGACACTAGATTATTTAACCGTTTTTGACAGGTGTTTAAACTGTGTTAATAGAAACAAGAATCTCCCTTCCTTTATCAATAAATTTATTAAGCAATTGCATATTTCAAAACTATACAACTTTTCTAAATGTGTATTATTACGCTAGGGTGCATCAGGTCTTTCTCTTATCAAATCATAAAAACAGATTACCCTGTTAAGGTCTTTGCATTCTACCGCAAGTCCACATTATCGCTGTTGATATATATTTTTCTTCTTTCTTATAATTTTTCTGCTTGAACATATCCGAGATTTATTATTATAAGATTAAAAAGATAAGTTTATTCGTCTAAATCTATATTGTCACCCTCAACGTAATCCCCAACAACTGCAACACATATATTCGATTTTTGATATTCCGTTACTTCCTCCCGGCTGCTGAAACGCGTTCCCTAGAGTGATTTTGGACTGGATTGAATAGAAAAAAGTCACAGGGAGTCAAATCGGGTAAATCCGGTGGCTGTTGGGTGGTATTTGTCGCACTTTTTATCAAAAAAATACGAATAATGATGACATGTGCGTTACCGTGGCGCAAAATTCACGAGTTTCCTGCCACAATTCTGCCCTCTTTCGGTGAAGTGCTGCATGCAACCCTTCTGGCAAAAATTCATGATGCCCACACCTTTCCAATCCATGAAAACGGTGAGCATTGTCTTCTTTTTTGACTGAGAAGTATGTGCTTTTTTGGTCTTGGCTCATTTGGTGAACACCATTCACTGTGGGATTTAGCCATGCAAATCATCTCTTTTCGGCGAGAACACAGTATCTTTTTTGAATGAAATTGAAGTCTTTTGTTACGAACGAAGGAAACCCAAATCATTTTCAATGTTCAAGTCGTCCTGTTCTAGTCGGGTTTCAATGTCGACGGTCTTTCATAGCGTTCATCATCTTTGATTGGCTCACGACCACTTATGAACGGCTCGTGGCACTGGTAACCAAAGTTACAAAACGTGTTTGCAAATATGACACGCATACGAGGCGTTAAGTTTTATCAAAAACTGTTTATTTATTCATCAAAATTGATGTTGTTCCCCTCAAAGTAACCCCCCTCCCAGATATAATACATTTGTTCCAACGTTTCTTCCAATCCTTGAAGCACTTCTGGCAAGCACTTTCTGGTATAGCCTTGAGTTCCGGCGAATATGGTGACTGAGGCATGATTGTGGTTTTGTTTTTGGCCAAAAAGTTAGACCCAAGCAATGGTTAGTCAGCAGGTGCATTATCGTGATGCAAAATCCATGAACTGGTTTCCTACAATTGCGGATGTGTTCTTCGTATTACTTCTCGCAAACTTCCAAGAGGCCTCTTTATTGACCGTACGACCTTGCGGTAAAAACTCTCTATATACTATGTCACGATAATAAAAGAAAACAATAAGTAAAATATTGACATTTGATCGAACTTGACATGCTTTTTCCTGTCTTGGCGATTCTGGGTCCTTGCATTGCCCATGATTCGTCGCCAGTTATGACCTTTTTGAGTTCTTGAGGGATGCTCGTTAGACGGTCCTTTTGGTTAAAAATTAAGCAGTTTCGGAACAAATTTTCGACGATATTTCAACACCTTTTGTTTCACTTCTTCAACGCCTTCATCAGTTATTGACGTGCTGGGAGGTCCAGGGCGAGGTTCGTCATCGACGTCTTCTCGGCTGTCTTGGAACAGCTTTATACCACTTAAAGATTTTTTTTGCTCAAAGTGGATTCACCATATGCCGTTGTCAACATTTTCTACCCAAAATTTTTACAAATTCTTTGTTCCACTCAACTTAAGGTCCAAAAAAACATCATTGATTGGTTGGTATCATCCTTCAGCTTTTGCGCAATAAGTGATGGTGGATAGAGAGTTCTTTTCTTTCTTTTTGTATTGACTGATCACTCTTTCTATAATTTAGTTCAGACCCTTGTTTAGACCCTTGTTTACGAGAATGTAATATTTTCCGTAAACAAAAAGTAAATGATGCATCGCCAGTTGCAGAAAATTTGCAATATCGAGAAAATCGTTGAAAATAGATGCAGATAAAGATCTAACCTATCGATGTATAATTATACTCTCCAATTGGATAAATTATTTTCCAAGATGAATTTTTAAAGGGTCATTCTTGTGTTTCGATTTACCTTACCTTAAAAAAAACGTTTTAAGATGCATGGTTGATAATAACTTCTTTCAAAATAGTCAAAACACCAAAGAAACTGATGAAAATGGGTTAGGTATATTGTAACCAGCCATAAAATTCTCTTTGAAATCAGAAATATCAAATTTAGTTGCTATGGTACATACGAGATATAATTTTATTAATTTTGCAAAAAAAAAACTCCACAGGCAACTGTCATACTATTTACAAATCTTATGGATTCTTCCTGTGTCGGTTGTCAATAATCCCCCCTAGTTTTACCACTGAATTAGAAACTAATAATAATCTCACATTCTTAGATAGTTTTATCAATAGGAAATCAGACGTAACATCGAGTCAATCTGTTTACACAAAAGCTACGCACACAGAGTGACACCTTAATGCATTGACACATCACCATCCATCCCAAAAATCATTATTTATCAACTGTTTTGTTTACAGAGCCATAAAACTATCCCAGCCCGAGTCACTGGACCCAGAAATAAAACACGTTACCTCTGCTATTGTCCTAATAACTTTCACATTAGAGATATTAAGGGTTCCATCACAAAATATACTCCAGCACAACCTTCCAAAGACAATGAGTCCGAAAGCAACCCCACACTTGCCACTGTTATCCTTTCTAGATTTAATGCTTGTCCAAAATCCCTCATTATCTTAGATCCGCCCCTCCCTCACACAATATATAAGCAGGTACAGAGTAGAATACCAGTGAGTGTTACTTAAGCTCTGAAGAAGACAGCATGATTGGCGAAACGTCAGCAAGTTGTAAATTCTAAATAACATTTTGTGTTTTTGGTAGTTGGGCTTTATATGTTCACTGTTCCAATCTGGTTGGTCACGGACTTGGCGCTGATCAAACGCATTCTGCAGCCCGACTTCCAGCACTTCACGGATCATTTCTCATTCCACCACGAAAGCCAGATTTTGACGAATCACCTCTTCAGCATACGAGGAGAGAAGTGGAGAACTATGAGAGCTAAACTGACACCGACCTTCACTACGGGGAAAATAAAAATGATGTTCAACAATGTCTACGATCTCAGCAAAAAGCTGGAATCATCGGGTGCGTTTAGCATTGCACTGTCTAACGTATTGTTGCGCCAATGTAAAAGGGTTCCTCTTTTAAATAATTATCTGCTGGTTAGCAACTAAGCCAAATTTTTCACCAAATTTTTATTATTTATGTGTCCAAAGTGAAAACCTTTTATAGGAAATTAACATTTACTTAAATTCTTACGCGCAGTCAAGCAAAACCACGTCATAAATCCAAAAACGGTGAGCATAAGGGACACCGTTGCCAGGTTTGCGACTGACGTGATCGCCAGTTGTGCGTTTGGCCTAGAGACTAACTGTATCGAAAATCCCGACGCTGAGTTCAGAAAATACGGCAAGAGGGCGTTCCACCCCAATAAGCTCCGTATATTGGAGCAGATAGTGAACTGGAATCTACTTGCTGCCATGGGCTATGTACGTTTTCCGGCGGATGCGACTAACTTCTTCATGGACGTGGTCAAAAAGACCGTGGCATACAGGGAGAAGAACAACGTTCGCAGGTAGCAAATGAAGTTTTAGCACTCTTAACTCGATTGAACTATTTCTTAACTTTTGGACGTTCGCAACTTGCAATCAAAATCTTTGTTTGCGGCTTACAGAGTAAATATGGGTCTTGGAGTACCACAGAAGTCTGTAATTGACCCTGCGCTCTTCTTATCTATGTCAATACTTTAAGTACCACACTCTTGCTTGAACTTGCTTGATGACCTTAAAATAATTACCCCAGTGCTACCCACCAAATAATTAAGAATTGAAGCACCAGTAAAGACTTTTAGGTATATATTTGTCTTTTGCAATTCATGATTTTCATCAGAGCTCTCAGTACATGCTATATACTTTGATTCCTTCGTCTATGGTTTTGTGTGTTGATGCATGATGTTATGTTGTTATGCTGTTCCTCATATGTACATCTTTCATTGTCTAAATTAAGAATGATCTGAATAATTACGGCATTAAAATTTCTCCCCTGTCTCTCATCTATCTACCGATATCTTAAGCAACTCAGATACATATTTATAACAAACGCATTTCATTACTTCTCTTTTGAATACTTAAGTAGAAATTAAAAATTAGAAATTTAATAGTAATTTGCATTATATTGTGAGAATTTTTCTTATTTCGCATGAAATAAAAATTGTTACTATTAAACGGAGTGAGTATAAATACAACATATTTTAATAACCGTCACCACTGGCCTACATCAACAGTCTATAAAGCAAAGCAGGTCGAGTATGATATACTAATTCTGAAGCATCCTGTATAATATGCACGTATCATTTTGCCGTTGACCTTTAGATTTTTTAATAACAAATTCAGAAATTTCGAAGGACTAAGCCATTAAAAGTTTCTTCCTACCTATTAATCTTTTTCGTCCCTCGTTTATACATTGAAGAATAGGGCGTTGCAGGTGATGACGTTCTCCACGTATTATATGGTCCAAGTGTGCAGTTTTTAGTTTAGTTCTTGTTGGGTGATCAACCCAAGGTATTTGAGCATTCGTGTTCACATTTGGAAAGGTTCTATTTTGTTGATTGTAGTCGCTTTTATCCTTCACGCCTCGACCATATACAGCAGGATTGACCAGATATAGCATCTCACCATGCTGAATCTGAAGAGCCACTTGCTTTCAATGGGGGATCTTCGGGTCTATCATCATTAAAGAGATTAGTTGTATATGTTTGTCCTTTTTCCAATATTTCATCAGTTATGTTATTGTTTAATATTATGTTTCTTTTATTTTTTGTCGAAGTACTTGTATTCGTCGTAGTTGTTTTGGGTTTTACACTTCCTCCGTTCTTTAATTAGTTCCAAACTGTATTTTGTCTTTTGTTTTTCGCTGATGTCTTATCCTTGGTGAGATACTTTTGGTTATTACGATCAAAAGCTTTCAAGGTATCGTCTGTATTCTCTATATTTTATTTTTTTAATTTTATTTTTTTTGTATTTTACGTTAAGTAAAAAGGTGAGGAAATTATATTACCAATTTGTTTTTAAGCTGATGGATTCTCAATAGCTCATCATAACTTCGTATTTCTAAAAATTCAGGAAGCCAGGTGACTTGAGAAACTTGTGGGATACAGTTGTCATTTCACTTGCATTAAAAAATTTTGCCTAAAGTAAATTATGGATATACGAGTATAAAAGAATTCCGCAGTAAGTTACGTTGTATATGTTGGGAAATACTCCAAAGCAGTAAATGGCATAGTAATTGGCTCAGCTTTAACCATGGTTGAATTGTTCTCGTTGTACGAAAAACTACTACTACAAAAATTATTCGTTAATTTTCTAAGAAATAAAAAAAAAATCCATTCCTATCCATAGTTTCGGATAGCAGGCTGGATAAAATTTTTGAATCAAAAAGTTCTAACTTAATTTTTTATTCTGAATAGCTTCCTTTATGGATTCTGCAGTTCGAGACGAATATTCTTCGTGGATTTTATTGATTACGTGCCTAATTGAGAGCAATATGTTTTAGGAACGACTTCGTTGATCTCTTGTTGCAGCTGAAAAATAAGGGCAAGTTGGAAGACGGCGGAGATATCTCAAAAACCGACCAGGGGACCATCACAGATAATGATGTGGCCGCCATGATGTTCATCTTCTATCTTGCTGGTTCGTTTTTTAAGTTTCCACTTAAACAAGAATTAAAATAAAGCTCTCGTCACTTTGAATTTTTTATTATTACTATGGGAGATAAGCCTGCTTGGCAATAATCTAAACCAGACAAATATTGATAACGTTTCAAGTCAAGTTGCTATTTAGAGGTTACGTAAAATTTGTTTCCTGCAATTACAGAGCCACATTTATTTAGATAACACATAAAAAACAATATTGTTTCTACTTTTCTCCATTTTAGGGTTTGACACGTCGTCGTCCACAACTTCCTTCTTGTTTTATGAGTTAGCCTCTCACCAGGAAATTCAACGTAAATTGCGACAAGAAGTGAGGGAAGTCACTGCGAAGTACGGAGGGAAACTGACATACGAGGCTTTGCAAGACATGCATTACGCTCAGATGTGTATCGACGGTACGCATTCACCAAATAATAATAATGAATTTACTATAAAAAAATATAGAATTTCAGTCTATTTTACGAAAAAGAATGCGTAGTTCCGCTTTACATTACTTTATCTCCAGAACAGGTTTCTGACTCGCTAATCAGAGAATTCAGATTTAGTACGACCACTTATCGAGAGATGGCGGTGGTTTAACATTTTTTGAAGTAATTACTTCAATATACTTCATTTGAGTTCCTTTTTCAAGGCTTCAAATTCTTGGGAGTTTGATAAGTACAGTTTTTACATTACTTGGGGCTTGCAAATCATATCGTTCTTTGCTAACTAGTTTTGAGTTAAGTTATTTTTCACTAAAAATTTACTAACGTGGAACGTTGATGCTCAATCTTATTTCAGAAACGCTGAGGTTGTACCCGTCGGCTCCTGTTCTCACCAGAGTGTGTTCAAAGACTTATCAGGTGCCTGAGTCCGATCTCGTGATAGAAAAGGGAACCCAGGTAATCATTCCCGCAGTAGCAATCCAGAGGGATCCGGATATATATCCGAACCCCGACGAATTTAATCCCGAAAATTTCATCGAAGAAAAGAGGAAGGATAGAATATCAAGTACTTGGCTCCCATTTGGTGATGGTCCCAGGCAGTGCATAGGTCAGACCATTATGATGTTAATTATCCATAGAATAACATTTCAAATTAAAACGAAAGGGCATAGTAAGACTGGAAAATTTTTCTTATAGGTATGAGATTTGGGTACATGCAAGTGAAGCTGTCTATTGCCGCATTGTTGGGAAACTTCCAATACAGCCTGCACGAAAGTACTCCGAAGAAGTTGGAGTTTATGTTGGACGTGCTCACGTTACATCCGGAGAAGGAAATACTGCTGAACGTTTCGCGAGTCGACTGAAACTATATGTTACTTTTTATTAAAGCAAATGTCATTTATTTCATACATTATATCATGTTAAGTATCCGAATGGATATACATAATGAATGTCAGCCGTTGTAGCGTATTAACCTCTAATACTATATGCAAAGGTTTTATGCGGTTCACTTTTGAACAATCAACAAGCTTGACACTGAAGGATTCTAAGAAAATGTAATGGATTTTCCTTTGTAATCGTTGATTGATTGATTGAGCATATCTACATTCGTCTGTAATGTTTTGGCTATGATTCATTAAGGGCATGCCCTCTTGGAACCCTCAGGTATATAAACTGTTTGTTGGTCCGAGTGTTTCGTTTCGATGAAGTGCTTGAAAATTCTTAGTTACAAAATTGGCCAATCAGTTTATTCTTAGAAAAAATTAAACATGTGAATCATGATATTAAAATATTAAATAAAAAGAAGAAGTTCAGCTTTCCAATTCCTTATTAAAGGATTAAGAGACTAAAATTAATAGGAAATCCCTATAACTCTGGGACGGTACTATAGATCGAACCGATATTTAATATTGCAAACATTTTATGCTTACATAAGAAACATCGCTTGATTTTATAGATTCCACATACTTCTGTGGTGGTTTATGGCCAAAGGAGAGATAGTTAAGCAGTTGAGCATAAAATGCATATTTTTTTTTATTGTAGATAGTTACCGTGCTACAAAGTTCGACTTTTTGTTCTGTTAACCAATTCTGAATTTCAAGTTTGGTCTATGAACTGCGTTGATAACATGCTAACAACTCATGTCTGCTTGTTGTCTTACGAAGAGTTTGCCTCATACTACTGTAGCTATGACCTCAAAAATGTTTGGTTTTTAATTTCTCTGATATATGTGGTCGTATAAGAAGAAACAACGTATTATATGTAGCAGTGGAATCGCGCTTTAGACTCTTGTTGAAGTGCATCTTTTCTTACTCGGCAATTGTGATGAAGCACAAACAGACTTGAAAACAGCCGATAAAACAAGACAATAATTGGACATCACGTTACCAAAACTTTCTTTTGGTAGGTATGTTAGATATGTCTGGAGAGTGTCACTTTAAATGGGTTACATTTGGTCCACCAAGTTGTTGGCGTATTGAACATAAATGGAAATGTTTTTTCTTTCCATAGACGCAAAACAACCCATTCGAAGCGATAAATTAGTAAAAAACGACGGAGTATACAACCGGTTAAGTATTGGGTTACATTTCAATTCAATTTTGCTAACAATTGTGGGAAAAAAAATTACAAGATATAAAATTTATTTCCTACGTCACTGTTTTAATTGTTTTAACGTATAAGTAGGCTCGTATCACACATGGTTCCGTCTATCAGTAAAGACTGGAGATTTTGGGAAAGTTGTCCGCACAATGCTAGTAATATTTGTGGTGATCGCTGTGCCAATATTTCTGTATGTTTACGCGAAATGGAAATATTCTTATTGGAAACGAAGGGGGGTAGAGCAACCGGAACCGGAATTCCCTTTCGGCAACTTCAGGGGTACGATTCTGAAGAAAATGACGTTTGAAGCGACAGCGGGGATATACTATAACATATACAAAAAGTCTCATAAGTATGGTGAGTGAACTTTTGGTTCTGTGCTGCGTTTCTTCATAGCCGTAGTCGATTGTCAAGGGACTCGAGAGTGGCAGTTAGACGGATAGGGAGTTACTACTTAAAATTAGAATTATAACTATTGTTTTGAATTGAAATGTGGAATTGGACAGTGAACAGTGTACCAGCAAAATAGTGTCCCATCAGGTCACCAAAGAGAAGTATAAGAGAAAAGTACAGAGAAGACAGGACATCAGAAGAATAACACAATCATTTTACTTACAAAAACGTGAGGCAAGCTTGCTTGAAAGGATGGTCCATGATTTTTTTCTAAAATAATAATATTTATTACAATTTGCACTTACTATTTCCATATTATTCGTACTTCTATATACGTTTTTAATTATTTTATTTTTTTATTTTATTCATTTAATTATTTAATTATATATATATATATATATATATATATATATATATATATATATATATATATATATATATATATATATATATATATATATATATATATATATATATATATATATATATATATATATATATATATATATATATATATATATATATATATATATATATATACCAAACTCTTTCTACTGTATGCAACTTCGAGTGTGCAACTCAAATAGATATATAAAACGCTTATGCGAAAACAGTTGGCACGCCACTGAAGCGAATCTAATTTATCTAAATGTAATAATACTGTAAACCTAAAAACGATTTATCAAAAAGCTGTATAAATTTAGCGCATATACCAAACGCTCATTTCTGATAATTTTATTTAAATTATGAAATCGGTTTAGCTGTTTACTCTTAAATTTCACGAGTAGCATCTTGCATTTAGAATTTTGAGGTTATTAACACGTTGCCGTGGACCAAAACTAACTTCAAAAGAATGGAAAGTGAGGGGAAGGTCCATACAAAGTAGCAGATCCCACTTAAGGTTGATAAAATAAGTGCATTATAAAAGATATCTTAAGACAAAAGTCAATAAGATAAGTTCGTCAAATTTACTTCGAAACGCAAATGTGAAAATTTCTCGCGATTGGCTGAATAATCCTTGAAATTTTATGTAAATTTAAATATCGTTTAAATATGAGAGGTTTCAATTCTCCGACAGTTTTTACTAAAATTTCGAAAAAATGAATGATTGGAATTTGGATGTAGAATATGCTGCTTTCGGACACACTGTATACCACTGCTAAGTCGGCAACCTCAAGTTTAAAATAGATAATTTTATTAGTGGGACTTTACATGTTCACTGCTCCACTATGGCTGGTCATGGACTTGACGCTGATAAAGCGCATCCTACAACAGGACTTCCAACATTTTACGGATCATTTTTCTTTCCACCACGACACCCAGATCCTAACCAATCACCTCTTCAGCATCGAAGGGGACAAATGGAAAACGCTCAGAGCTAAAATGACTCCCACTTTCACGTCCGGAAAGATGAAAATGATGTTCAGCATAGTCTACGATCTCAGCACTAAACTAGAATCGTCAGGTCTGTATAGTATAATACCTCACTATACAAATCAGCTTTAGTAATATTATATTATTAAATACGTTAGAACATTTCGTATTCTCCTTTAGGATCAAAATAAAACTTTTTTAGTCTTGTGGGACTTGCGGTTTACAAGAGCAACCTCACAACTGTTATTTGTTTCTGGTTAGATTTTTAATTACCCCACTAATCTTATTAAATTCATGCAGATTTTTACAAGAGAACGAGTAAACCAGAGCTTGTGTAATTAGGCTTTTTTTACTGCCTCTTCAGGTCTAATGTGCCCAGGAAGGACGTTTGCAAGTAAGAAGATCGATATCTACTTCATTTGATATAACCATCTTTATTTGGACGACGATTTTTTAATTTCCCATATAAGCGTTCTCACATTCAGAGTACCTCAGTTTAGGAACTCCTCACAGTTTAGGCGCTCCGAAAACACTTCGAACACGAGCGTAAGCATTGAAGATGCCAAGTGAGATTTTGGCGAAACGTCTGCAGGATTCCAGTCGGAGTTCAAGGAGCGAAAGGAATGACATCCCGGAATATAGTGTCATCACATTTTTCCATCCGTGAATCAATACGTGAAAATTATATATATCCTGCATCCGACTGGAATCCTGCAAATCTTGCATCCGACTGGAATCCTGCAGACGTTTCGCCAAAATCTCACTTGGCATCTTCAATGCTCGCGCTCCGTGTGTTCGAAGTGTTTTCGGAGCGCGAGCATTGAAGATGCCAAGTGAGATTTGGCGAAACGTCTGCAGGATTCCAGTCGGATGCAAGATTTGCAGGATTCCAGTCGGAGTCCAACGAGCGAACGGATGATATCCCGGAATATAGTGTCATCATATATATATATATATATATATATATATATATATATATATATATATATATATATATATATATATATATATATATATATATATATATATATATATATATATATATATATATATATATATATATATATATATATATATATATATATATATATATATATATATATATATATATATATATATATATATATATGATGACACTATACTCCGGGATATCATCCGTTCGCTCGTTGAACTCCGACTGGAATCCTGCATCCGACTGGAATCCTGCAAATCCTGCATCCGACTGGAATCCTGCAGACGTTTCGCCAAAATCTCACTTGGCATCTTCAATGCTCGCGCTCCGAAAACACTTCGAACACGAGCATTGAAGATGCCAAGTGAGATTTTGGCGAAACGTCTGCAGGATTCCAGTCGGATGCAGGATTTGCAGGATTCCAGTCGGATGCAGGATTCCAGTCGGAGTTCAACGAGCGAACGGATGATATCCCGGAGTATAGTGTCATCACATTTTTCCATCCGTGAATCAATACGTGAGAATATATATATATATATATATATATATATATATATATATATATATATATATATATATATATATATATGACACTATATTCCGGGATATCATCCGTTCGATTGTTGAACTCCGACTGGAATCCTGCAGACGTTTCGTCAAAATGTCACATTTCTCCATCCGTGAATCAATACGTGAAAATATGTATATATATATAAGAAAAATTTAATGTTTACGTCCTGATACTTGACATCTCTTCTCTGCTATTATTTTTCCTATTTCTGGAGAAATTGTGTTTGCAGTGATAACTTTCAACACTGACCCAAGGTGAGCATCATTGATACGGTTTCTAATAGGAGACTTATTACCTTTCATGACTGAAAATAACTGCTCGCACCGATAAGTACTACCAAACATGGAAATAATTTCATATGCGAATTTTCGAGTATTTTCAAATCTGACGTAAATATTTGAAAAATTCAGGCACGCCCACTTGAATGAATTTTTCTTTCAAATTTGAGTCGCATTGAATCTGGATCACCTCCATTTGCATATGGCTTGGTACTGAATCTATACTTATTGAGAAAATCGAAGAAAACAATAAAAATTTGTCTTCGAGGGAACTAAAATCGTTAAACCTCATTTCAAATTCAGCTATTAAATTTGCAATTTTTTCTGCGTATTTTTGATACGAACACGTATCATCTAAACTCGTTTTGTTCATGCTGCACGTCGGGAAGTGTGTCAAATCTTCATTTTTGAGTTGTTTTTCCCAAAGAACTAATTTACATTTGAATGCTTTAATTATGTCAAACATTTTCGTAATAATATGATCTTTCCCTTGTAACGATAAATGTAAATCGGTTAAGTGTTTGTTTATATCAACTAAGAAAGATAAATCTTGTAAACTTACGTCTTGATTTTTCATTTTTAGAAATTGACATATTTCTTCTTTCAAACCCCAGAATTGTTTGAGAATCTTGGAGCAACTAGGCTAAGCGAAGAGCCATATATCTTAACTTCCGAAGTGTCTGCTTTTGTTCATATCATAAGTCTTATTCTTTGTTGAATATCCAATCCAAATCTAATGTGTGTCCAAGCAAAAGAAGTAGCATGAACAAATTGCCTTTGCTGTTCCAGAATTTGCAAAATATGAAATATAATTTCAATTTTTTAATTTGCTTTACTTAATTCTTCAAAACGGAATATATACATCGTAGTCGTTGCACCTAGTTCTGGAAAACCACATCCAAAATCCAAAAAGCATGAGCATAAGGGACACCGTCGCCAGGTTTTCCACGGACGTGATCGCAAGCTGCGCGTTTGGCCTGGAAACCAATTGCATCGATAATCCAGACACGGAGTTCCGAAAATACGGCAGAAGGGCGTTCCATCCCAACAAGCTTCGCATACTGGAGCAGATAGTCAACTGGAATTTACTGGCGAGGTTGGGGTACCTGCGTTATCCCACGGACGCGACCAACTTTTTCTTGGACGTTGTCAAAAAGACCGTGGAATTCAGGGAAAAAAACAACGTTCTCAGGTAGCAAAAGGATGCTGTAATATCTTTTTATAATCTAATCACCTTTGTCAAGAACAGTGGCGGGGAAACTTTTTTTCAGACGGGTCATTTGTAATAACTAGACGATCGTATACATGTACATATATTATTACATACACTTATTAATAGTAAAAAAGCAAAAGGTAAGAAAACTATAAGCGGAGAATATAAAATGAATTTAGTGTAGTTCTTGATGTGAAGTATTACCACTTTACTTTTTGGTGTCATTAATGGTTGATGGTGCATGAGAAAAATGAAATTGAGATTGTTTTAACAAAATTTCATCATTTGCGAAGCAGAAATTCTTAAAACGTACTCATCTAAAATTCTGCTTAGTAAAGAAGTTATCCTAAGCTTCATTGTTGAAAAGATTGAAATTAATTTCGTATTTTTTAATTTTATTGTCTTTGAGAATGATTAGAGCTCTATGAAATAATTGTTGTTGACTTGATAAATTTTTTATTAAATCTTTCGATTTAATCTTTTTCACCTCTTCACTTAACTATGAGTAGGAGTGGTTTTCATGATTGCTCTTGAAATGGCGTTGAATGTCATATTCTTTTAAAACTGCAACAGTTGTATTGCAAAGTAAGCGCACACACGTCCATTCTTCTTTAAAAACTCGAAATTACGAATCCACGTTTCTTTTTTTAACATCCACTAACTAACTAATGCTGTGGGAGTTTCGGGGATTACCCAAACAAGTCGCTAACTAATTGATCTTGCAAGGATTGTTCGGGAATTGGATTTTTCCGGTTCTTTCGGAAAAACAGAGCAACGAATCGAAAATGCGAGAGTGTCTGGAATTGTCCAAAATATTATTGGGTTTTGAATATCGCCGCAGGTAGTTTTTATGCGGGTCGTCACATTACGAAGTGAGAACGCGTTCGAACATTCTCACGACATCACTGGTCTAGATTATCTTAGAATGTTTTATGCCACTTGCAAATAGCTTAATTAAAAGTATTAATTTACTTTAAATAGAGATCAGTGGCAAAACAGTCACCATAAAGGAACACCCTGTACGTGCAGTCATATTCCTTCCAAAGTGCCGTTTCCACTAATCACAGTGGAAAGTAGCACCCTCTAAGAACTCTTATCAATTTTGAGCTTTTCAATTGGTGATGAGCTGGAAGTAACGTTCTCAATCAAATTTGTCACCTATGGATAGAAAGCACTTAACAATTTCACATAATTTTTAGGAATGACTTTGTGCAGCTCCTGTTGCAGCTGAAAAATAAGGGCAAGTTGGAGGACGGTGGCGATATATCAAAAACTGGCGAGGGAATAATAACTGACAATGATGTGGCTGCCATGATGTTTCTCTTTTATTTAGCTGGTTGGTATTTCCAGTATGCTTATCATTTATGGGTCATCCATTTTGATTGAAATACATATATTTACATTTTTTTTGCCAACAAGGAACATTTAGTGGAAGTTATTTAAATTTGTATATCAAAATTTCAAATTTCAATGTTATCACTGATTTCGGGTAGAACCGGCAACGTTGCAAAACATTTTTAAATTGTACGTCAGGGCCAATCATGGCCATGTACCATGTTTCACAACAATATTATTTTTTCTCATAAATCTAAATTGTCTTTTCATTATCCGTAAGATTTTACGATGCTTCCATCTTCATTTCAGGTTTCGAAACGTCTTCAACGACAACTTCGTTTTTGTTCTACGAATTGGCCTCTCACGAGGAGATTCAAGACAAATTGCGCCAGGAAATAAAAGAAGTCAGTGCCAAATACGGAGGGAAATTGACGTACGAGGCTTTGCAAGAGATGCACTACGCTCAAATGTGTATCGATGGTAGGCATACACAAGATGGTTCACTACTTCCTTCAACATTTGGTGATCAATGCTCACCAAATGTTGAATAGCAACACTTTGGTGTTGGATATTTTGATACGGATTCTATCTATACGAACAACATTGTCATATTGGCTTTTGACGGCAATTACGGCAATACTGTTTAACATAATCTTTTATGAATTCCAATTGTTTGGTTTTCTGAATCACACCATTATCTCAGTCCTTGATCTGACTGGACTGTAAACACTAACCGTTTATCTTTACTTTGAATTAATCCTCCAAGACCTTGTTAAATTTGTGCCTTTAATCGAGAATCAGCTGGATGGGCAAGTTTAAAATGACCAGCATGTAGCATGGATCTCCACCCTGTTCGGCATGTTTGGAATGAACTTTGCAAGACTTGTTGGCAGAATTATCAGGTTCTTCATCAGAGAATCTATTCTTATTAAGTTGATGCTACGAGGACCACATGCATTGCTACGAAAGGGGGCTCTTCCAAAAGTTGCACTTTTCAAGATAAATTTCATTTCGCAGCAAGCATTCTTGAGCTTCAGTTTTTGAACTTTTATATTTTCTGAAGGTAACAAAATCTTAAAGGTGCGATTATGTTACTCCTCTTTTTTTGTCCTTTTTGAGGTATTTAAATTAAATTTTATAAGTAACTCTATGGAGGGTGGCACGGCTAATAATTATGTCAGTTTCGCCTTTTTCTAGTTCTCTTTTTAGTTGAGCATTCCCGCACATTTTTCACAATTGGCATTTCATTTAAACTAGTACTTACTTATAAAAAGCTGTCTGTGTTTCTTCCGGCTTCTTTCTGCGTTGGTTTTTGCTGAGTCGAAATTGCTGACGTATCGCCAATCATCCTGTTGGCTTCTTCAGAGCTGATTTGTGGAAAGTATTATGTGGAAATATCTTTAAAAAAAGCTGTCAATAAATTAATGGATTTACCCACAACTGTGCTATAACTTCTAGGTGGATGGTCTGTCAAAAGCCAAGACAATATAATTTGAGACACACCATTACTTTCGCAACTTAAATAAACTTTTATTTAATCCATTAACCTCTAATTATTCTTAAAATCGTACACCAAAGACTAGCTGTCGTTATGATTATATGAATTTTTAGAAACCCTGCGACTATACCCACCAGTTCCTTTTCACACTAGAGTGTGCACAAAAGCGTATAAAGTGCCCGAAGCCGACCTGGTAATAGAAAAGGGCACTCAGGTGATTATTCCCGTTATTTCGATACAACACGACCGGGATATATACCGAAACCCGGAGGAATTCAACCCGGAGAACTTCAGTGAAGGGAAAAAGAAGAACAGAATTTCCAGTGCATGGCTGCCGTTTGGCGATGGCCCTAGACAATGCATAGGTAGTTAATTTTGCTCTTTGTGACGATCGCGATCTTGATATGAACTTCTTATCAAAATCTATAATTTAGCATCTCACCATATACGTAATGGTAGTTCAAATGCAACATTGTACATAAATTTGATGATTTTTATACTCTTAATCCTTTGGAAAAACATTTATTCTTCAAAAAGATTCTCTTATCATTAAGTTTCTTAAAAATATAATAAAAATGGCACCTGAAAATGACACTTTATCATTTCCATTATCATTTTAAACTTCGAATAATATACAAGCTGAAAAAATAAGGGGTTCAACTTTTTTTATAGTTATATTTTGGAGAAAAAAAAAAGGAATAATTCCCACTGGATAGCTATAGCAATATGGGAGTTATATAAGTTTACGATGTTGCCATATATCGCTGTTAGAAATGGCAAAAACAAAGGATATTTTAGATGCAGATGAAGGTGGTTTCTATTTTAGAAAAAGTGGTTAGGTGGCAAAATGGCAAAAGAAAGATTGACTATAATGCTATGTGCAAATATGATTGGAGAAAAAGAGATGCTTTTGGTTGTTGGAAATGCTGATCGACCACGAACAATGAAAAATATTGCGGTTGATAATTCGCCTGCTACGAGTCGAAATTGCTGACGTTTCGCCAATCATCCTGTTGGTTTCTTCAGAGCTTGACTGAAACTGTTTCAATTTCGACTCAGCAAAAACCGACGCAGGAGGAATCCAGAAGTTTTGCAAAAAGAACCATTCACTAATTAAATAAAAATGTTGAATCGGCTGGTAATGGGGCTAGTGTATAAGCAGAGGATACTTTGAATTTGGTATCAGAACACAGTGTTGAAGGAGACCATGAAGATTGTGATCCAATAAACGCCTAAAACTAAAAAAGTTTTCAAAAAAATATTTGTTTTTTGTGAGAAAGACTTCTAAAAGCACCTACTTATTTTTTATCAAAATTAAAGTACATTTGTATTGTATTTCTTAAGCGAACTAAACTCAGATTGATTTCTATCAAAGCACTTGAACAAAGTTCAATGAGGTTGATATTTGAAATATTTAAAATGTATGATTGTTGGAATAACAACAGCAACTTCTAATATATCTTTAAACTTAATTTAATTTAATTTACCTTAAATATAAATAACACTATTTTTTGAAAAATAACTTTTTTCCTGCACATCCTTGTGTATAAATATCACACGACTTTAAAAGTCATGACATATTTGACAATGAACGGATTTTTACAAAATAAATATTGACAAAATTACGTCCCAAATTAAATTCGGTAGCAAAATCTAGAATTAAATTATAGGTACCGTGTCTATTTCAAAATTTTACAGCCAATACAGTTATTCCAATGACCAATACGTGACTTCGATGGTAAGTCATATAGGATATGCCAAAAATTTACATTTCTGATGTAACGCAAAAAATATTTCTTCGTAGGCTATGGCTTGCTTAGTTCTTTTAGTTGATCGTAATTGTTTCCACATTCTTTTCTGACTTCCATAAAAATCGTGAATCTTTCCCAATATTCCTCTTTGATGGTTTTTATAATTGCATTCGCCCCGCTTCTTCTATATTTTAAGTATACGTCTCTCTTGAAGCTGTTATTATGTTGTTTGTTTGTTTTCCAGCATTGTTCTTCATCATCGTTATGTGTTATTTCGATTTCTTCTATTTTTAATTCTGTTTTGGTACAGAGTTTTTGTGCTTTCGTTTTCTAGTGATTCTATATTAGCTTTATTTATGTATTCTGGGTGGATTTTCATCAAAGGTGGTCTCTGTAATCTGATTTTGCTTAACACTGAGGATAGTACCCGAACATCCAGTATGTTCTTAGGCTGTATGTTTTTATTAGTTATTATGTAATTTATTACGGATTTCGTTCCTCTTGTATTGAAAAGTCAATAGAATACAACAACCCTATCTTCATGTGTTTCGTGGACCTAAAAAAAGTGTTTGATAAAATTCGATAGCATACTCACTTAAAAAAAAATGTATTACTGTATTAATGCTCCACTAAAATAAAAGCTGAGGGAAAGGTATCTGGAGAAATAAAGGTGAACACAGGAATAAGAGAAGGAGACAGCTTAAGTCCGTTTCTGTTTAACCTGATTATGGACAAAACGATGAAAAAGTAAAAAGATTAACAGGATACAAAATAGGAAACATAAATATCACGATTCGATTCTACTGATATCTAATAGCGAAGACAAACCGCAAAAGAATACAATACGGCAATGTCAATAGAGAAAACTGAATGTCTAACAGTATCTAAGGAACCCATAAGATGTAACCTGGAGATAGAAGGGACAATCATAAAGCAAGTAATGTCATCTAGATTCTTAGGAGTAGATGTAACAAGCCACCGACATATTTACCAAGAGACGATATATGAAGTAAGGAGAGCAGCAGCCACAGCAGGTGCATTAAAGGATATAGTGTGGAGAAATAAACAAGAATCTATAAAACATATATAATACCAATTAATACTTATGTATGACAGAGAAGCCAGAGCCGATGCAAAGAAAACAAAACAAGCGCTAAGAACAACTGAAATGAAAACATTAAGATGCATAATAGGAAAGAATAGAGACCATGTAAGAAATGAAGATATCCGGCAACAATGTAAGATATAGTAAGATGGGGACGAGAGAGAAAAAGAAATTGGAATCATCACGTAACGAGAATGGAAGAGCACAGATTACAAGAGATGGAAAACCCGAGGGGAAAAGATCCAGAGGAAGACCATAAAAAAGATGGCAAGATAGCAGGTCATCAGAATCACAAATAAGATTATTACCCAGTAAACACAAGTCATTGGTCTTAACGTAGGAACAGGAAGAAGAAGAAGAAAACTATTTTTGACATCGCTAAACAGTTTTAAATAAAGCATGGAAAAACAACACAAAAATAAAAAAATGTAATTGTATATTGAAATATCTATATTTTAAACTTGTTTTGCTTTCGGGGTGGGCGACGCTGAAATTCTCACCATAACATCATTTTTTGAGGATAGTGGCTTCCAGTATGAAAAAAGCGATATTCATTGTCTTGGCTCGAGTATCGCCAGTTCGAACATTTGGTTCGTTGGTGAATAAGAAACTCTTTCCTCATCGCCTTGCCGGAGTTGTTGATGCTTTTCGTATTATGTGTTTGATGTTTATTTACAGATTGTCCAAGAATGCTATTATTAAGCAATCTAATAAATCTTGTTTTACCAATTAATTAACCTGTTTCCGAGTTAGGGTGAAATCTACTAAATCCATCACATCCATAGGTGGAATACAGGGGAATAGTGTTGCGTTAGAAGGGATTTTGATATCTTTAATTTTATAGATTAATTAAAAAAAATATATTGCAAATTTTGGTTTAAAATCTGTGTGGAACTTTAAAATATTTACTAATTTTGATGAGAGTTTATCTGCTGGAGTTGTTAAATAAGACATATAAAAAATATTTGTCTCTATCACTAAATAGTGTGGAGTTACTAATTACTTCCTTGACTTGTCTTTGACATAACTCTGTAGGATCGTGTCTGATACACTGGAAAAGTTCTGGTTTAAGAAAATTGTTGCTTTTGAAATATATTCTGGGAGAACGATAGCTATGACTGTCTTCACTTTATCTGCACGTGTATATATTATGTTATTTTCAGAAGCTTTGTTTTTGATAGTTTTTACTAGTGACATTTGGTCAAATGTCTATCAATCTTGATAATTTTCAGAAATATACAGGGTATGATCGGCATTTGCAAAAAACGGAAAATTTGACATGACCATGTAGTGTAGTGTGGACAGCTGAAACTTTTGTATTAAAGGTTTTTACATAATAATGAGTAAGAGGTGTCTCAGATTTGCAGCGATTGACTTCAAATTTAGCACAAAAGTAAAAGGCCACACTCGCATCTAAATTGCAAAATAATTGACCCAATCAAGACTAGCCAAATATTTTTTAAAATTTCGAAGAACCTTTTTTCTGGTTATTTTGTCTTTCAGAAAAAAAATATTTTCTCAAAACTGTTAACCCGATCGGCAAAGTTCCTTAACCAGGAAACGCGGAAGATTCAGTGCTGTAATTTCTATTTCAAGCAATATTCATTGTCTTGGCTCGAGTACCACAGTTCGAACATTTGGTTAGTTGGTGAATATGAAACTCTTTCCTCATCGTTGTCCAAGAATGCTCGTACTAATCATTTTGTTTTCCTCCACATGCACTAAAGTGTTCGAATCTCTATTGTCTGTTTCCCCTGCTCTATTATAGACATTTTCAGCTAAACATTTTGCGCTTATCTGTTGCAGTACCTTTGGATTCGAATTGGATAATAATACGTTTAATTTATAGTTTTAGCAGGAAAGTAATCTGAAAATATTTCAGACACTGCTACTCTAAAACTGTTTCCTGCATAATACCACTTAATTACGGTTACGTAACAAATTGTAAATAAAAATATTGTCACTGTCACAAATTTTCGTGTTGTCAGTCTGACAAACTATAAAAAAATTTCTAAGCTTGCTATCATATTGAAGATTGGCTTGTTAAACTTCATTCAAACTCGGCACATGAGTTAATCATACCCTTCAAAAAGTTATGTCAATTTACCTGCTTTTAAGAACAGATATTTCTTTCTCTTTAGCGATATATGTAGTCAGAATTTTGGAAAAACATGGAATTTGGAAATTTACGTTGCTATCGACGTCAACGTTTTTATTGTTTAGGCATGAGATTTGGCTACATGCAAGTGAAGCTGTCCATTGCCGCGCTGTTAAAGAACTTCAAATACCGTCTTCACGAAAGCACCCCGAAGAAGTTGGAGTTTATGATGGACGTGCTTGCCTTGCGTCAAGAAAAGGAAATCCTTTTGAACGTTTCACGAGTCGATTAAATTTTTATTTTACCAAAATGAAATATAGTTTTTAATTTACCCGACTGTTGTGTTTTTTCACCATTGTCTTCCGTTCATTAAGTCTTAAATTATTACCTGGTAAACAGCGCAGTACCATATCATTTGTGAGAGGTTTGACGGCTTATTATGGTGCGTGACACTCACTTGCCAAGCGAGATAATTAAGCTTACTCATCCTGATAACGAATCGCATAACAAGCTGAGTAGGCAAAAATTAATTCGGACAAATGTAAATATAATTGATAATAATATTTTGGGATTGATATGACTAACAATAGATGCCATTTTCAAACAAATTTGTTGAAGGGAATTCTTAAAAATGGTACGGTAACTGCCAGTATAACATCTAATTAAAATGGGAGTGAAATTGTTACTAATGGCATTAAGTGATGGAAGTGGCACCGAAGAAACTATCGATTCTTGACCAAGCCGGGCTCTAGATTCACTTATTAAATGACACATCTTTACTTTATATGGTGCCCTGAATGACCTAGTAAATTTCTATGTTTCCAAGTTTGGCAGTTTACTTATTTATTCATGGAAGTACTGAATGTGTCCTACGTTTTATGATATTTGCCTATCTTGTATTTTAAACAATAGACGGCTTGTTACTAATAAAATTAATGTTCCCAGTTATTATTCGATTTTTACGCATGTTTTTCAACAACAAAACCTTAATTAATGTTGTTGTGAGAATTTAAGTTCAATAAAGGAGAGGTATTTAAATCTAATTGATCGTTAAGCAATACATTTGAATGTCTCATTTTGTTAATCTCCGTTCTCTGTTAGTTCTGAAAGTTATTTTTAAACTACATTTTGACAAATGTTTTGAAACTTTTTCGCTAGGTTCTCCTATGTATGTAATTGTTTTAAATTGTTCTTGTTATGTATTAGGTTTCGGATAAATAGAGTTTACTGTTGCCTGGATTTGTTTTTTATTTATTATTTTATCTGTAATGGAAGGATTGTAGCCGTTGTTCAGTGCAATTTGTTTAATGATATTAAGTTCCTTGTTGTAATTTTCTGTCGAGAGTGGCGTATTAAGAAGTCTGTGTATAAAAAAGTGAAATGCAGCCATTTTGTGTGTATAAGGGTGATTTGAGCTGTTGTGTATGACTGTGTCCGTGTGTGAAGATTTATGATATATTGAAAAATCTAATTTGTGTTGCGCTTTCGTAATAGTTAAGTCTAAAAAATTAATAGAGTTATTCTGTTCAATCTTCATAGTGAATTTTATACGATTATGTAACGAGTTAATGTAATTTAAAAAAGAATTCAATTGTCTGTCCGTTCCAACAAAGCAGGCAAAGACATCATCGACGTATCTATACCACCACAGAAAACTTTTACTTAAAGGATGTTCTAGTATGATATTTTAAAAATTATCCATAAAAATCTCGGCTAAAAAAGGACTAAGTGGGTTTCCCATAAGCAAACCTTCCTTTGAGATGAAAGTCTGTCCATTAAATTATAAAAATCTCGGCTAAAAAAGGACTAAGTGGGTTTCCCATAATCAAACCTTCCTTTGAGATGTAAGTCTGTCCATTAAATTCAAACTAATTTTAGTCTAAGGATATTATTAAGCAATCTAATAAATCTTATTTTACAATGGGTTAACCTGTTTCCGAGTTAGGGTGAAAACTACTAAACCTATCACATCCATAGGTGGAATACCGGGAAATAAGTTTTGAACATCAAAAGACAATAGTGTTGCGTTAGAAGAGATTTTGATATCTTTAATTTTGTTGATTAATTCAAAAGAATTTTTTATTGCAAATTTTGGTTTAAAATCTGTGTGGAACTTTAAAATATTTACTAATTTTGTTGAGAGTTTAACTGCTGGAGCTGTTACATAAGGCACGACTGGTCTAATGGGCATATCTTGTTTATGTAATTTAACTAAAGAATATAATTTCTGCGGTTGTGGTTTCATAATTCTTAAAAAATGTTTGTCTTTGTCACTAAATATTGTGGAGTTAGGAATTACTTCCTAGACTTGTCTTTGATATAACTCTGTAGGATCGTGTCTGAAACATTGGAAAAGTTCTGGTTTAAGAAAATTGTTGGTTTTGAAATATATTCTGGGAGATCGATAGCAATGACTGTTTGTTTTTGACAGTTTTTACTAGTGAAATTTGATCAAATGTCACTAGTAAAAAAAACTGAAAGTAAAAGTATCTGCAAAGTTCTTTAACCAGGAAACGCGGAAGATCCAGTGCTGTCATTTTTATTTCAAGCAGTTTTTTTACAATTATATTCAGGTTTTTCGATTATGGACAAAAATCTATAAGACCCTGAAAATTGTTCTTTTCCAGAGTTAATTATTATCTGTAAATCAAAATTCTTAAAAAATATGGCTAATTGGTTTAAACAGCCGCCTCATTTGCTACATTTTTTCTATTTCTATGCTGGAGAAAAAATCCACTTGAAAATCGCTATTTTCTCAAAAACTATTTACTCTATTGGAAAAATTCTACAGGGTGTGTCGTTTATTGGCAAGGTATCTCCTAGTCAATGGTCTCATGTGTCTACACAAGAAAATCCTGCTGACTGTGCTACCCGCGGCATTGTACCCTGCGAATTACTCCACTTAGAAAAATGGTGGGCGGGGCCGTCATTCCTAACTTCCCATTGTGACCCTTGGTCAAACGAGTCTCTAAAGATCAACGAAGTGACATTAGAAAGACGAAAGACGACTCTTACTATTTCGACTACAGAGAGATGTTGCTGGGATAACCTAATAGACCGGTTCTCATCTTTATCAAAATTGAATCGCGTTTTCGCTTACATAATGCGCTTCATCTCAAAGACTAAAAATCCAACGCTGTTGCTAAATGAATGTTTTTCTCTATCTGAACTCGACCAAGCCCTCTTAATTTTAATCAAGCAAATTCAAAGATTTTATTATAACAAGGAAATAACTGCACTCTCTAAAAAGGACTCGTATAATTTGAAGTCCTTCCCGAAACATTTTCGCAAGCTCACTCCCTTTCTTGACCAAGATGGTATTCTCAGGGTGGGCGGACGTTTACATCACTCTTCTATTCCATATAGTAATAAACACCAGTGTTTACTTCCAAGTGATCATAGGCTGACTCGTCTGATTGTGGAGCATACACATGTTAAGTACTTACACGTTGGGCTACAAACTACCCAATATTTACTTAGCCAAAGATATTGGATCCCGTCCTCTAAAAGAGTGATACGAAAGGTCATCTCTTCTTGCGTTCGTTGTTTTAAAAGTAACCCCTGTTCTTCTCCTCCGGTAATGGGTAACTTACCTGCAGTGCGAGTAAATGAAATAAAATGCTTCACCAAATGTGGGGTTGATTTCGGTGGTCCATTCCAAGTAACGATGGGCAAAATGCGAAGCTCAAAAAGTTATAAGGCTTATATTTGTCTTTTCGTATGCTTGGCCACCAAGGCTCTGCATTTAGAACTCGCTACTGAATTGTCTACCGATGCATTCCTTGCGGCGTTAAGACGGTTTATTTCTCGGCGTGGTCTTGTCACGGACATCTACAGTGATTGTGGCACTAATTTTATTGGAGCCGCCAAACAACTCGCTCAAAAGATGCATAATGCTTCCACACGAGAAGGCATAAAGTGGCACTTTAACCCTCCTTCGGCGCCAACTTTTGGTGGAATATGGGAGAGTAACATCAAGTCAGTGAAAACCCATATTGTTCGGGTAGTAGGAACCCATATTTTAACCTACGAAGAGTTCATCACAGTTCTGACCGCAATTGAAGCGATTCTAAATTCTAGGCCATTGTGCCCTGTTAGTTCCGACCCTAACGATCTAAGCGTTCTAACTCCTAGTCATTTTCTAAATCTTCAACCTCTTAACACATTTATTGAATCAGATTTAACCGAAGTTAAATTGGGAAGACTCTCGCGTTGGCAGTTATTACAGCGCATGCATCAGGATTTTTGGAAAAGGTGGCATCGTGAGTATCTTCACACCCTTAACCAAAAATCGAAGTGGTATGATCCCTCCACTGATATTAAAATTGACACCCTGGTGTTAATTAAAGAAAATCTCTCTCCTCCATTGGCTTGGCATTTGGGGCGCGTAACAGAAGTCCATCCGGGTACGGACGGAGTGGTGAGAGTAGTCTCTATTAAGACGGCAAAGGGTATGCTCAAACGCCCAGTTTTAAAGGTTTGTCCTTTGCCAATATATTAGTTGTTAATGTTTTCCAATATATTAATTTTTAATTTTAAGCTTAGAATTCGCGTGGCTATCGGAATTGTTATTACGGTTTTTGTTAATTATTTTCTTTTTTTTTGGATTCATTAATAAAATGTTGCCATTTTAGGTGGGCGGTATGTTCCGTCCAGTCGGAATTGTTTTGTTTTATTTTTCCTCTTTAATTTTTGTAATTGGGGAATTTTTATATCGAGCAAATTGAAATTGGTTTTCTTTTAATTAATTGCTGCGGTTATATTCTCCGCGTATTTTGGTGACAATCTCACTGGGTATATGGCCAGAAAAACTCGTATGTCGCTTGGGTGTCGTACTCCGCCGTGATCGGGACTAGTACGATTCAGGTAGAGACCAACGTGAGAGCATTTTTCCGCGTGCCAGAATTAATATCTCGAGTGCCGTCAAGTATTGCGAAATTGTGTCGGTCAACAGCCAGAGCTACATCAAGGTAGGCCAAGAAGAAAAGAGATTGTCATTTTTCGTCTCGTTACATCGATATATTATTTTTTGAATTGCCCCGTTATTTCTAGCTTCAATTAAACAAACAATTACAGTCCATTGCTCTTTCTCGTCCAGGCACCAATATTTTTTCGTGCGTTTCGAGTTTTTATTTTTTTTTTACATATGTAATGTATTCTTAGGTGCATGAAAATAAATAATTTCAGAGCAAAAAAGTATTTTTTTCTGTTTGGGATAATATGGGTTAAACAAATTAAAATACAGCCAAAAGCGCTGACGTCAGTGCAAGAAAGCGAGACAAACGATATGGTGCGCGCGAATTCATCTTGAAATACGATCACTATATCAAGAATTTCGTACGCCAATGATGAAAACAATGCCAAAACCTCTATAAAAACGAGCAGCTACTATAAACAACCGTTCATTTAAACAAGTCGCGGTGGTTATCGCCATGTTATTGATATTGTTTGTGTTAGCGGTGTCGGTGTCTTTATATTTCTACGTAAAATGGAAGTACACATACTGGGAAAGGAGGGGGGTGGCACAAGCGGAAGTGAAGTTCCCCTTCGGCAGCTTTAAACACGCTATCTTGAAGAAAATGACTCTGGAGCAAAACATTCAATTGTTTTATAAAAAATTTAAAGACGACCAGAGATACTGTAAGCAATAAATTGTAGAAATCTAATCTTCAGTTCTCACTTTAAATGAAAAAAAATCCCATTTTATTTATAAAATAGTGTCATCGTCAATTTAAAATGCAAATACCAAAAGTTTTGTGTCGCTTTTTTTAAATTTTTCGTCTTCTAGTTATTATCTCGTAATTTGGTAGGAGTCGCATTGGACCTTCGAGTTTTTACTATTTGAAAAATAAAAATTTAAAAACGTACTTCAGATTAAAATCTAAATGCGCATACGAAAAAAAAAATCTGCAGAGACACGGTAAATATTGATAAGAAGATTTCTATTTGAACGTCAGGTCTAATTTACATCGATGACATTGCAAAAATGGGAGAAAAATTGAAAATAATGCAAAAAATATTAGACACATGAATATCTTATTTTATCCAGCAATATTAAGGGATCCCTAGCGTTAGTTACAAACGTTTGCTTTTGCCGTTTTAGTCGGGATGTACCTTTTCTTCGAACCCGTTTGGATCGTTACGGATTTGCACTTAATAAAAAGGATCATGCAACCGGATTTCCAACATTTTACCGATCACAATTTTTACCATCACGATAAAGAGATGCTGACCAATCACCTCTTCAATTTAGAGGGCGAACGCTGGAGAACATTAAGAGCTAAGCTCACACCTACCTTTACCTCCGGCAAGATGAAGATGATGTATAGCATAGTCTACCAGATGAGCAAAATATTGGAATCCTTGGGTACGTTGAACGAAGTTATTTTGCAATTGTTACTTTCGAAAAATCGAAAGTATACGCGCTTCTTACTAAACTCCAGATCTCGGTAACGGTTGGTTCTATTTCTTTTGTCTTTCTGTTCTCCGTTCTCCGTAGACTGAACCCATCTACGGCCATAACTTTCGGACGCATTAAGGTAGGAGGATGAAATTTGGCTCCTTTTTTACCCTCCACGATCCGCACAATATACTCTAAAATGGCCGCCATCGGACATTGACGTCTATCTTCTTTTTAGATTTTCCACTGTTTTTTGAACTTCGCTATGGAACACAATAAGTGTCTGAAATTTGGAGCTATCGATTTGAAATTTTGCAAAAGCATAGAGCTTAAGCCCGTGACGGAACCTATTGAGAGGAATCGGATAATGGGAAGTATTTTTAAAAATTGAAAAACCTTTTTTTTTCAAAAACCAAAAAGTGACTATTTCTCGAAAATCGTTCTTCGGACCGAAAAAAATTCTTGAACGAAAAGGCGCGGAACATTGATGCCCATAAACTTTTATTCTTGACAATTTTTGAAAATATACAGGGTGTGCCAGTATTACCAAAAATCTCAAAATTGAGTTAGCTTTGAAAGGAAAGTTGATTGTAAGTTAAATACTGGTACTCTTCTTCTACATGACAGCTTAGTCCATAGAGATAGCTCAAACGATTGTATTTAAAGTGTTCGCATATTGTACGGGGTGTTAGAGATATAACGTGTTATATTGAAAGATGCAGCAAGTGCCCGGAGTTTGCAGCTATTGAGTTAAAATTTGGCACGTTGGTAGAAGTCCACCCCCTCATGCAAATTATTTTTTCGATTATATACAGGGTTTGTCAATTGTTGACAAAAATTTAAGAGACCATAAAAATTGTTTTTTTCTATAAAAAATTATTAATCGCAAATTAAAATTTGTAACAAATAGTATTAATCGGTTCAAACAGGCAGCATCAGGAGCTCCAATTTTTGTATTTACGGTTCGTATATCGCATAGGCATCCATATGAAAATCACTATTCCTCGGACTCAGTCTAGACGCGATGACGTCATTTACTATTCCTACGTACTGCACGGTTTCAGAAAACAAATCATATTCCGGGAAACGTGGGAGATCCGGAGTTATAACTTCTATTTCGAACATTGCTTGAATTATATACAGGGTGTGTCGTTTATGGGCAAACATTTTTAAAATATCCTAAAAATTTCCGTTTTTGTGAAAAACCATTATAGATGGGAAAATTTTATTTGAACAATATCGTAAACTGTGCTGAGAGAGAGTTATACAAGGGTTTCACTTATACAGGGCGCGCGATATTTGAAAGAATATCATTCGACATTCGATACTTTCGAAAATCGATGAAATCGAATTTTCGAAAGTATCTGCGTTCGTATGAAAATTTTATATCTCGGTAACTGTAAGTCCTACGGGATCGTCGTCGAAAAAAAAAATTTTTTTTGTCTGTCTGCTCTCCGTTCTCGTCTTTTGGTTTTTCCTGAATAACTTTCGAACCGTTGGAGCTACAAAATTGAAATTTTCCTCCTTTTTAACTCTCCACGAGGCACATAAGCTTATAAGAAATGGCCCTGATCCGAATCCGGTATCCATCTTTTTTTCGCGATTTTCGACTGTTTTTTGGACCTTGCTATGAAACACGATAAGTGTCCGAAATCTGAAGCAATCGACTTCATATTTGGCATATTTGGCAGCTTTGCCCCGTGACGGAAGCTATTGAAAATGGGGTCGGGAAGATTAAAAAAGAAAAGAAAAAAAAAGATCGTAAAATTCTTGAACCAGAAGACGCAGAGGAAACGACTCCATAAACTTTTATTCCTGACAATTTTTCAAAAATATACAGGGTGCGCCGCAAATTCAAAGAAGTTGAAAAAGTGTCCTCTTATTAGTTTCAAATCTGTGTTTTAGATGTCAGTTTATTTTACATGACAATACAGCCTATATAGTATTGCAAAGGGTGTTCGCGATATTCCGTGCAATATTGAAAAACAGAATAAGTACTCTAAATTTGCCGCTACCGACTTCAGACTTGGGAGAGAATTTGAAGTCTGGACTCGCATTTAGAAATTAGAAATTAAACTGGGAACAATGAAATAACGCGAAGTATTTTTTTTATTTTTGAATTTTTTTTTGTGGTTATTTTGGCATCCAGAAAATCAGCTTTTCCTTCCTTCCTTTTCCTTTTCCTTCATTTGCAGCCTTATTTTTGTCGACTGTTAAAACTATTGATTGTTGTCCAATTAAATTGCATTTTATACCGTTTCTCCTTTCTGGCGTAGAATCTAGTGGGAATGATTTTTCAAAATTAGAATGTACAGTTTTATGATGTCTCTCAATATTTCCATTTTTAACAATGGAACCGAAGTATTACAGAACAAACACACATTTTTACCTTGAACTTTTGTAAAAAAATATTGTTCTTCCCTTTTAAAGCAATTCAGATCGCTCTCGAATACTAACGCGCTGGTCCGGTTGGTCGGACACACATATTTTGATTTGTGTTGGTCCCAATAGAGCTAAAACTTTGTGTTCTTTTAAATATATATCTTAGTAGGTTGCGAAAAAAAAAATGGAAGTCTTGCGTCAAATAGTTTTTTTATTGACTGCATTTTAAACAGGACGTGTCCAAAAAAATGTCTCAAATAACGCAAATTGAGTATAGAGTCATAAAGTTTTTAGGCTTAGCACCTAAAATTATTAAAGAAAGGCTGTATGGTGTGTACGGCCAAAGTTCTTCTTCGTGTTTTGTAGTGAAAGAATGGGCAAAACATTTTCGAATGGGGCAGGAGTCCCTTGAAGATGAATCAAGAACTGGTCGACCAGTTTAGGTCATAACATTCATAAGGTTCATAAGATGGGTTTCTAAAAACCTTTCGGCTATTCAAAAACAATGCCGTGTTGAGTGTGCGTGGTCTTTTTTTGAACTCTGTGGGTCGGAACCGAAGTCTGTGATAGAAACTATTGTGACGGGAGATGAACCTATGGTTCTCTATTATGACCCTCTAACGAAAAAAGAATCAATGGAGTGGCGTCGTACGGGTGAAGCACCTCGGAGAACATTCAGAGTCTGCCAGTCAACAAAAAAGGCGATGGACACGATCTTTTGGGATTGTGAAGGAATTCTTTTGATAGATTTTAAAGAAAGTAATGCCACTGTCAATGGTAAATATTACGCAACATTATTACATACATTGTCCATCCTCCCTATAGTCCAGATATGGCCCCCAGCGACTATTATTTGTTCGGATATTTGAAAAAGGACTTACTTGGACGGCGGTTTAACGATGAAATTGAGTTAAAAGGGGCTGTTTTAGCTCATTTTGCAGACAAACCAAAAGATTATTTTTTTAAAGGGATTGAGTTGTTAATACAGAGATGTAATAAGTGTATTGAAATTAATAACTTTGTAAAAATGTAATCTTTGTTGTATTTCCAAAAGGTCTAGATCGCCAAGTAGCATTTGGCGCACTAGATAAAAAGTATTTTTTTTTCAGTTGAAAAGCATGTTACCGCTAACAAACCGTTGGTGATAAGAGACGCCGCAGCCCGTTATTCGACCGATGTGATCGCGAGCTGTGCGTTTGGTTTGGAAACGAATTGCCTAACGGAACAGGACGCACCTTTTAGGTACCACGGCAAAAAAATATTCGAGTCCAGGCCATTGAAGGCTTTACTCGAGCAGTTTGTCAATTGGAACGTTCTAGCCGCCTTGGGGTTCCGGTTCTTCCCGGAAGACAGCACCAAGTTCTTCTTGGACGTAGTGAACGATACGATCGAATACAGAGAGAAAAATAATATACAAAAGTAAGTATCGAGATGACATTTAAATAAGAATTAGGCGTTGGTGTGGATGAGATTCCAGAGGTGACGGTTATAGGCAATAATTTTTGAAAATTGTTATGGAGCGCCGATTTTGGAGAATGATAAACGAGAGTCTATTCAAACGCAAATGACTACTCGGATGGAGAGTTTCCGAAAACAACTTTTCCTGTTTGCCTTGCTGATATTTACATTCTAGTTACTTTCCTCAAAATTGTTGAGATCGAAGTGTACCTACAAGTTCCACAGTCTGGCGAAGTTTATTTCGAAAATAAATTTTTCCTACACTCAAGTTGCTCAATAAAAACTATCTATAATATTTCGTAACTTCCCCACATCAGAACTAAGTGAAAGAAACATCCTTTGTTGCGGATCTCGGTACGAAGGATGCAGATAATTCAATTGCCATAATAGAAAATTTTTTTTCGTAAGTCTCGGTAATTACTGAGGAAAGAGGTCGAAGTTGTTGTTTGTTTGTTTTCATTCAATGCACCTTCATGGTCTAGTGCAGAGATAACCAAGTTCGATAATAAAAAAAATGTCTTGCTTTTAGAAACGATTTTGTACATCTGTTGCTCCAACTGAAGAACAAAGGCAAGTTAGATGACGGTGGTGACCTCACCAAGACCTCTCAGGGTACGTTGACCTACGAGGACGTGGCATCGAGTATGTTTGTGTTCTACCTAGCAGGTTCGTATGCAGAAATAGACACCTTCCTACCTGATACTTGATATTAGGTTTCGAAACGTCTTCGTCCACAACATCCTTTTTGTTTTACGAGCTTGCCAAACATCAAGACGTTCAAGATAGATTAAGAGAGGAAGTTCGAGAAGTGTTGGAAAAACACAATGGGAAGTTGACATACGATGCCCTACAAGAAATGCACTACGCTCAGAAGTGCATTGATGGTCAGAAGACCTTCTTCAAAGCCTAAGCCGTATATCTAAAACCCCTTTGTGGTTTCCAGAGACTTTAAGGTTGTACCCACCAGCGGCTGTGCATTTTAGAAGGTGCACCAAGACGTATCAAGTACCGGATTCGGATTTGGTGATTAAGAAAGGTGTTCTTGCGATTTTGCCGACATTTGCCATCCAACGCGATCCAGACCTGTTCGCGAATCCGGAGGAATTTAATCCCGAAAACTTCACAGACGAAGCAAGAGCGGGGCGAATATCCAGCGCTTGGACACCTTTTGGAGATGGACCAAGGCAATGCATTGGTAGGCTATACTAAGTAGTAGAATTTTTTTTCGAATATTGTGTTAGACCAAAAAATAAAATAATAAAAAATACGTTTTTTAGGAATGAGATTTGGATACATGCAGGTGAAGACGTCAATTGTGGCATTGCTGAAGAATTTTAGGTATACCCTTCACCAGAGCACCCCGACCAAATTGAGCTTTGCCTGCGACACCATAGCGCTGGCCCCCGCCCAGGATATATTTTTAAATGTCTCCAGAGTTGATTAAGTTAATCAGATAAAATGACTGAAATTTAAAATAAATTAGTTGATGTTTTCAAATCACTATTTTTCTATTTATTGGCGTGAAGCATTGGACTCATGCCATTCACATTCTGCGAATGATTGATTGGTTAAAAATAATGTACAAAATACATTATTTTAAACCGATGAGTTGAAGCACAAATATCTAAAGTAAAATCTCTTAATTTAGTTTTTAAGAAACAACTAAATAAATATTGGAAATAGAAATACCTCTCGACCTGAATTGGTGTGAGGAGGTTGTTTCCTTTCTCTTGAATTTAAGAGATTGACCTTTGGAATTTTAAGTTTTATCCTTAACTTTTGCAAATCAAATAAAGAGAATTAGCTGCTAGGTAGTGGCTTCAATATTGTCTAGGAATTCTCGACTCATTTCGATTTATCGTTGAGCTTGTTGAGCTGTGAGAAGAATACATATGGTAGTGGCAGTAAGAGGTAGAGTATAATAGTAGGATGATTTAGTAGGATGATATAGCAGGATGATTTCTTTTCCCGCCTGAAACATTTTAATGACGTGTATAGATGAGCTGGGAAGAAATGATACCAAGAAATTTTTGACCAGTTTTCTGTTCGAAAGTGATGTAAGTTCAAGTTCCATGGACGAGCAGACCTTGCTTGCGAAGACAAGTCTACGATGAAGCAACTATTTTTGTATAGCTATAATCATGGGGGGAGACAACAGCACATGTCAGCTCTGTTTAGAAGAGGAGAAAACGTCAATTCATCCAATAATTGCTTGCGTGCCACTAGGGGGCAGCAGATCAAAAGAGTACGTGTAGGAACTGAATTCATTGAGTCGGAGAATAGTTTCTAGTAGTAGGCCTGGTTCCAGACTAGCACTTTCCGCACTTTGAAAGAGCTCAACAATATCCTCTTCATTCTTTTCATTTGCCCAGTTTTCTAGCGCCTTTATAATAATCAATTCTTCATATGTGTTAAAGACAATTGCAGATATAATGCACGATTTAAAAAAAAATTACGCTTGAGCAGAACATCCAATTGTTTTATGAAAAACTTAAAGATGGTCATAAATACTGTAAGTATTTTATTATTAATGTTATTTAAATGTTGTGTAATAAAAAAAAACAATTGACCAGTATATTCTCCATATAATTAATGATTGTATTTTGTCCTCGTATTTTCCGGTACAGAGTCAGCGATGGAGTAACGTTCAATATCTTTCAAAGTATACAAGGTGGCTCAAAAAAATAGCGTAACGCATAAAACCTTATTTTTTAATGGAAGGCCATGTTTTTGTTTCTAATTGGTTTTGAAGTTTTTCATTTTTTTAAATAATACGTGCCTAAAACTAAAGCACACCTAATACACACCGCAAAAATTAACAAAGTAGCTCAGCACATTGAAGAGGTTGGCGACCACTGACCTAGGGTCTCTGATTACAGATAACATTGACCCTGATGGTCTATGAGGTCAATATTCTGCAAATAGCAGCTTGAATATGGCTCGTGGCAACACCTTCTGGAAGCATTTGAGATGTGGATCCTTTGGCGAATCTTAAAAATTTCGTGGACTGCAAGAATGACCAACGAGGAAATCCTGAGAAGAGCAAAGACACATATATTTGGGACATATAATGGGGGGGCCAAAAATACCATCTCCTCAGAACGATTATGGAGGGAAAGATTAAGGGTAGATGGGGAGTTGATAGGAAGCAGATGTCCTGGCTACGTAACCTACGTGACTGGACCGGATACCAGGTCGCAGGAGAATGTTTTAAACTGGCAGAAATGCCTTTTCCCAAGTACTACTGACGTCAGATAACTGGTAGGGCACTGAAAGAAGAAGAAGAAAGCTACTAAGTTTTTCTAAAAGATCATACAAAATACTATATATACCTATTAATACTTTGCGACTTTTCAATATTTACCCTTTTTTCTGTCTAAGACTATTGCTATAACATTTGTCGGCCATGGCACAGTGATATCGTCAAATACTGAGTAAATAAATTAATACTTTTTATTGTTGTGTCAGCAAATTAAAAAAAAACTAATTGTGGATTTTCCTAAAGCTGAATTAGTTGATATGATTTATGTACTATCTGAGGTAAGAAAAAATATTTTGTGGGCAGTAAGACTTTACAACGCGAAGTGCCCTATTATTCAGTTATCAACTTTTCCCACTAATAGGGTAGTTCATCGTCATTCTTTGTACGAGAATTGCAAAACCAAAACCTTCTTTCAGTGTGGTGTGGAATAAAACACTTTAAAGTTATTGGACCATATTTTTTTCGCCATCCACTACTTTTTCAAGAAGTTGGTAACATTGGGATCCAGCAAACATGGTTTCGGCAAGATGCAGCTCCTCCGCATTACTCTCTAGAAAATCGAGAATTTTTAATTAATCTTTACCCACATAAATTCATTGGACGGCCTCCTCGCTCATGTGACTTAATATCACTTGATCGTGTTTATGTGAATCCTCATACAATATCAGAAGGTAAGGAAAATAATACCATTTGTGCAAAGGAACGTCGAAAAAAATATGCTAAAAGGACTAAACATGTGTAACTTAAAACCACGTGCAAAACATAAATCCGGAAATTTTCTACAGTGCTCGAGACATTCGGAGATTCTCTGCACCAGACTCAGACAACTGATTGTATGCAGCGGTAAATATTTAAATGGTCTGCAAGGTATTATCATAAAATCTCATGTAAACGTATAAGAGAAGAAAATTAGTTGTGAAAGCCGACACTGAAAGATGGTCTGGTTGGTTAGTAAGACTAATATTAGAACAGAAAACTCTTTGCCGTCTGGGCTTCAGAGAATGCAAGCTATAATAGTGATAATGCTCATTATAAGAGTGAAACGAAAATTAATAGCAATTTTAAGACCTACACATTTTAAATTGTTACATTAGAAAAACAAATATAATAATAATTGTACATGATTATAATTCTATAAAAGTATATAAAATGTACATGTAAAAAGAGTGAAAGTGACATATACAATGGTAAAAAAACAAAAAAAAACTAGACGATACGATAAGATAGAATTATGTACAAAATACCACAGATTAAATCAAAAGGTACATACCATCCTATATTATGATGGTGGTGCCTATGGATTCTGGAGTAGAAACAGTGCTAAGATAAAAGGAATTCTGCTGTCTGGAGCAGTTGATAGATGAACAGACATGGAAGCAACATGATTTTCGAATGATTACTTTACAATGTTCTAGATAACACGCACAGGACCACAATATAAGTTAGGAGTGAATAATAGAGAAAATATGTCATTATAAATGTTTCCTTGGCGATTATTTTTTCTTATTCACGGACAACAGAATTACTAGATGGCAGTGTTTTAAATAATAGAATGTTATGCCGAGCCCAGCCCAAAGTATCATCCCCATAGGTTTTGCACTAGCATCCAACACCAAGTTATTATTTGTTGAAAGCACAAAGTGCAGTGCTTTATCTGGATTTAATGTAGTTGTTACAGAACCATAACTTGGCCTTATCTATATGTTCTCTATTAAATCTTGTATGTTTTGGTGATAGCATAGATCGATAATGTATACTGTAAAAAGTAGCACAAGATAGAGCCCTGTGGCACACCATTATGACATTTCATTATTATAGTCTACACATTGTCTCCTAGATGACAAGTATGACTTAATAAGGTCCAATGGAAGTCAACGTACACTATATTAATTCAATTCTTTTGAGCGGTAATTTGTTCCGCCATCTATCGGACTGATCGATTATCGAACAAAGTGTAACGCTCGCAGAAGAAGACGAATAAGAGGCGCGTAGAAAAGTATATAATAATAATAATTATAATTTAATAATAAATTGCCTTTATTGTTGTTACATACAAATATACAGTAGAGAAGAGGCGAAGTCTAGCAAAAGCTTCTCCATTTAACTTCTTAAATGTTTAAATTGAAAACTAAATAGGAAGTTATAAATACATTGATAAATTAAATATAGTATAATAGATAAATATAATAGCAATATGGAACAATAGAAAGTTTAAAGTATTTAATTGAATGTGATTTTACTGAATCGAGTATACTATTAAAAATTACAACAGCGTTTTACGAAAATGATCTGCGGAACAAAGATAAACGATATCGTGACAAAAAGTACTTGAAACTACTGTCAATTTTTGGCCAGTTAAGTTGCTGGATTTTGGGGGAAATCCTATCAAATTTACGCAAGCCGAAAATGAATCTGCAACAGCTGTTTTGAACTTTTTGTAATCTATATTTATTAATACTATCAAGAAATGAGGACTAAACCATAGTTCATAATCGAAAGGACAAGTGATTGAGTTTCCGTGAACTGAAATTAAGGACAGTTCTATGCCTGTATAAAGGGCCCAAAACCAAATAGGACTTTTTCACCAACAAAGATACATATTCCACGTATCTAAGTCTACAATCAAATATAACACCAAGGTTTTTATTACAATTCACAGTTTTCAAACGTTTACCGTTAATTAATAAATTCATTTACAAAGACGCACTTGCATCAAGGAGCAAAATAGAAATAAGTTTTTTATTTTCTTTCTGTCGTTTTGAAAATAAATAATTATTTTTCGGCCATATTTGCGGCGGAATGTCTCCCTAATGATGGCTTTTAACCAAACCCTTATATGGTTGATGGTAACTGAGGCGTTTACGCCGAATGGAAATTTGGCTAGTTCCATAAGCGGCAATGCTATAGCGACTTAAACTATTTTTATAGTTGCGACGTTGCCGCATCTTCGATCTGCTAATACTTTATGATTGTTTTTGAATAATACTTTAATTTACTTCAGCGGTTTTCTAGATTATATTTTTTAATTTTTACGACCAATAGTTTTAATTAATTTTTTTTAATTACTTTGATACTGAAGCAAGGAGAAAGCAAGAATTTTTTGGCATAGCTTAACATAGAACATAGAAGGTATCGAACAGAATTTCCTTAAATCGAAATTAGCTCTGCATTATACAGGGTT